CTAAGTAAGTAAGTACTGAATGAAGCCTAGAACGATGTGTGTTAAATTTCGTAAAGATCGGTTCAGATTTAGATATAGCTTCCATATATATTTCCGTCTGATTTAAGGTAAATAGAGCACCAAAGTCCCTATATATCCTTCGATTTGTACGAAATTTGGCATAGCGTACTGAGTTCATTCTAGAATGATGTGTGTTAAGTTTCGTGAAAATTGGTTCAGATTTCGATATAGCTCCAATATACATTTTCGTCCGATTTAAGGTAAATAGTGCACCTAAATCCCTATATATCTTTCCATTTAAATTACGTCTAGAGTGATGTGTGTTAACTTTCATGAAAATCGGTTCAGATTTAGATATAGCTCCCATATATATTTGCGTCCGATTTTAGGTAAATAGTGCACCAAAGTCCCTATATATCATTCGATTTGCACGAAATTGGGCATAGTGTACTGAATTACGTCTAGAACGATGTGTGTTAAATTTCCTGAAAATCGGTTTAGATTTTGATATAGCTCCCATATATATTTTCGTCCGATTTTATGTAAATGGTGCACCAAAGTCCTTATATATCCTTCGATTTGTACGAAATTTGGCACAGCGTACTGTATTAAATTTAGAAAGTTGTGTGTTAAGTTTCGTGAAAATCGGTTCAGATTTAGATATAGCTCCCATATATATTTCCGTCCGATTTAAGGTAAATGAAGCCCCAAAGTCCCTATATGTCTTTCGAGGTGAAGGGTATCATATAGTCGACCCAGTACGCCGTTACTACTTTCCTTACTGGTTTTCCATAGAATATGTTATTGTACCCTGCAACAGTAGCCACCCATAGAAGCTTAGTGGCAAAACTTTTCTTTCACTCGACTATAGAAAATTTTTTCGTTACATTTTTGATATGTTTTTAATAAGTCTGAGCCATAGATCATGTTAAAAAAGAAGAAGAAGAAAAACATTTCTTGTTTGTTGTTGTTGTTTGCCGAAATAAAAAACTTTTCTTTTACAAAAATTAACAATACATATTCCGACACATACTTACCTATACATATTTGGAGATTTATAGGTTACTAAAGGACCCTCCAACAAAAAATATTTATTGAATAAAATAGTCTCACACTCCCCGCACACATAGACACACGACACGAAGTGTGTGTGTGTTAGTTCTATGTTTTGGTAGTTCGATTGTAAGGCCATTGATGGCTTATAGACTGAAACTTTTTGGCCATAACGTGAAACTAAAACCCAATATTTCCTCCTGTTCTTTGGTATTGATGTTTTTGTTGTAAAATGAATGATAGCGTGTGAAGAAAGTTTTGTCCTCCCTCCACCCGCCATTGCCATAGTCTTCCGCATGTAAATTCCGAACATGTGAACTTTTTCACATACATTCAGGAGTTAATCATCATCATCATCACACAATACACAAGGTATATGCTTAGGGGGGCGTTCATTGTTGTTGTATAAGCCTAAAGTTAGGCTATAATGAAAAAGTTAACAAAATGTTATTCAATCGAATCAATTGATTGATTGATGAAGTAACAAAAATTGGATATTCAATATTTATGATACGGAAAACTATAAATAAATTATAACTCAACATGAGGTCTTTAAAAAAACCTTAAAAAATTATTTAAAAAATCCACGCCTAGTGCAGACTCTTAAAAAAATTATTTAAAAAATCCACGCCTTGTATAGACCCTTGAAAAAATTATTTAAAAAATCCACGCCTTGTATAGACCCTTGAAAAAATTATTTAAAAAATCCACGCCTTGTATAGACCCTTGAAAAAATTATTTAAAAAATCCACGCCTTGTATAGACCCTTGAAAAAATTATTTAAAAAATCCACGCCTTGTATAGACCCTTGAAAAAATTATTTAAAAAAATCCACACCTAGTGCAGACCCTTAAAAAAATTATTTAAAAAATCCACGCCTAGTGCAGACCCTTAAAAAAATTATTTAAAAAATCCACGCCTAGTGCAGACCCTTAAAAAAATTATTTAAAAAATCCACGCCTAGTGCAGACCCTTAAAAAATATTATTTAAAAAATCCACGCCTAGTGCAGACCCTTAAAAAATTATTTAAAAAATCCACGCCTTGTATAACCCTTGATAAAATTATTTAAAAAATCCACGCCTTGTATAACCCTTGATAAAATTATTTAAAAAATCCACGCCTAGTGCAGACCCTTAAGAAAATTATTTAAAAAATCCACGCCTTGTATAGGTGTTGGAAAAAATGACCTAATTTCCACGTCTTGTATAGGTGTTGGAAAAAATTACCTAATTTCCACGCCTTTTATAGGTGTTGGAAAAAATTACCTAATTTCCACGCCTATTGCCTTAATAGTTCTTGTGAAAATACCCTTAAAAAATCCACGCCTATTGCCTTAATAGTCCTTGTGAAAATATCCTTTAAAAAATCCACGCCTATTGCCTTAATAGTCCTTGTGAAAATATCCTTTAAAAAATCCACGCCTATTGCCTTAATAGTTCTTGTGAAAATACCCTTAAAAAATCCACGCCTATTGCCTTAATAGTCCTTGTGAAAATATCCTTTAAAAAATCCACGCCTATTGCCTTAATAGTCCTTGTGAAAATATCCTTTAAAAAATCCACGCCTATTGCCTTAATAGTCCTTGTGAAAATATCCTTTAAAAATCCACTCCTATTGCATTAATAGTATAGAGTCCTGAAAAAAATTATTTAAAAAATCCACTCCTTATGGCCTTTTTAGTCCTCTGGAAAAACAAATCTTTAAAAAATATCCTTTAATTCCTTTGCCTTCCTTCCATCCATGAGTAAAGCTAATCCTTGCGAATTGCTCTCATAAAAGAGAACAAATTCAAATCCGAATAAAAAGAAGGAAACGCACAAAAAGAAAACATTATGGTTAACCCATGATGATGTCCTGTAAAAGGACAACATAGTGTTAATGTCAGTCAATAAAATCCCCCACCAACAAAAAAAACAACCGTAAAGAAGTCACAAAATCCGACCAATTGTCGTAACCTCTGTGTTTTTATTTCATTTCAATTTTGGGGTGAACTGTTTATGAGGTAGTATCGCAAATCATAGATTGATTTGGACGCCCGGCATCGTCTTCCTCTTCTACTCCCGCCATTCGAAAAAAGGTCAAGTGTCTGGTTAAATTGACCACTGTGACCATAGTGATATTCAGATTATGCAAGTTAAGCTGCTTGACTTAGGATATGACCGAACGACAAACAAAAAATGGGAAAACTCGCCCCGAAAAAATTAGGGAGTGATTTTCCAGTCGGGTTTTTTACAGCTTCATGGAATGAAGCGACAATAGATAAGTCTGGATACCAAAGGCCATTAGGCGTGGATTTTTTAAAGAATTTTTCAAAGGATACCAAAGGCCATTAGGCGTGGATTTTTTAAAGAATTTTTCAAAGGATACCAAAGGCCATTAGGCGTGGATTTTTTAAAGAATTTTTCAAAGGATACCAAAGGCCATTAGGCGTGGATTTTTTAAAGAATTTTTCAAAGGATACCAAAGGCCATTAGGCGTGGATTTTTTAAAGAATTTTTCAAAGGATACCAAAGGCCATTAGGCGTGGATTTTTTAAAGAATTTTTCAAAGGATACCAAAGGCCATTAGGCGTGGATTTTTTAAAGAATTTTTCAAAGGATACCAAAGGCCATTAGGCGTGGATTTTTTAAAGAATTTTTCAAAGGATACCAAAGGCCATTAGGCGTGGATTTTTTAAAGAATTTTTCAAAGGATACCAAAGGCCATTAGGCGTGGATTTTTTAAAGAATTTTTCAAAGGATACCAAAGGCCATTAGGCGTGGATTTTTTAAAGAATTTTTCAAAGGATACCAAAGGCCATTAGGCGTGGATTTTTTAAAGAATTTTTCAAAGGATACCAAAGGCCATTAGGCGTGGATTTTTTAAAGAATTTTTCAAAGGATACCAAAGGCCATTAGGCGTGGATTTTTTAAAGAATTTTTCAAAGGATACCAAAGGCCATTAGGCGTGGATTTTTTAAAGAATTTTTCAAAGGATACCAAAGGCCATTAGGCGTGGATTTTTTAAAGAATTTTTCAAAGGATACCAAAGGCCATTAGGCGTGGATTTTTTAAAGAATTTTTCAAAGGATACCAAAGGCCATTAGGCGTGGATTTTTTAAAGAATTTTTCAAAGGATACCAAAGGCCATTAGGCGTGGATTTTTTAAAGAATTTTTCAAAGGATACCAAAGGCCATTAGGCGTGGATTTTTTAAAGAATTTTTCAAAGGATACCAAAGGCCATTAGGCGTGGATTTTTTAAAGAATTTTTCAAAGGATACCAAAGGCCATTAGGCGTGGATTTTTTAAAGAATTTTTCAAAGGATACCAAAGGCCATTAGGCGTGGATTTTTTAAAGAATTTTTCAAAGGATACCAAAGGCCATTAGGCGTGGATTTTTTAAAGAATTTTTCAAAGGATACCAAAGGCCATTAGGCGTGGATTTTTTAAAGAATTTTTCAAAGGATACCAAAGGCCATTAGGCGTGGATTTTTTAAAGAATTTTTCAAAGGATACCAAAGGCCATTAGGCGTGGATTTTTTAAAGAATTTTTCAAAGGATACCAAAGGCCATTAGGCGTGGATTTTTTAAAGAATTTTTGAAAGGATACCAAAGGCCATTAGGCGTGGATTTTTTAAAGAATTTTTGAAAGGATACCAAAGGCCATTAGGCGTGGATTTTTTAAAGAATTTTTCAAAGGATACCAAAGGCCATTAGGCGTGGATTTTTTAAAGAATTTTTCGAAAGGATACCAAAGGCCATTAGGCGTGGATTTTTTAAAGAATTTTTCGAAAGGATACCAAAGGCCATTAGGCGAAAGAATTTTTATTTCAAAAGAATTTTTTCAAAGGATACCAAAGGCCATTAGGCGTGGATTTTTTAAAGAATTTTTGATGAAAGGATACCAAAGGCCATTAGGCGTGGATTTTTTAAAGAATTTTTTTCCTTATAATTGCCAAAGGATACCAAAGGCATCCAAAATTTTAAGGCAAACAAGGTCTCCACTTTCAATGCTTCCATGACGGTTATCTGGAAAGCAAAAAAATATTTTCAACATTTTTATTAAAATTCTCCTCGAACCCCTTACCTTCTCATCCACGGCCACGGATTTGACATTCCACAAAAACTCCACAATTCCAATGCAAAAAGCACACACCAAACCCAGCCCCAAGACCAGGAAAACACCACCCACACTTTCAATATCCAGTTCGGCAGTATCGCTAGAGGCTGCCTCGCCCTTCTCACACTTGCCACCACCATGCATTTCCTTCCACCATTTGCGTTTCAGCTCCGTCAAAGTACCCGCCTCGCCCAGTTTTAGGACCGCCCCACTTATCTGTTTGCGATATGGCGAATCTGAAATAATATCTCCATTAAAATCCAAAGGAGCTCCTTGAGAACCTTATTAGGGTCCTTACTAAAAGGCATAGCTATGCCATAGGTCTTATAATCCAGCCATCCACCAATCTGAGTCAGATTACATTTCCTCTCAACAATATATTCCAAACCAGTGGACTCCATCAGATAGGCATAGAGACGTTTGCCTTTCAGCACTCGCTCCACACCCTCATCATTGCTTTTGGTAAAGACCGTCATATCCGATTCCATTGCGGCCCACATACGTTGATACGTTGTGAAATTGGATTCCTAAAAAAAACGAAGGGACATTTTTAAGAAGTTCCGAAGGTGAGGATAAAGGGCACAAGCTCACCTTGAAAAAGTTCATGGTACTGCCACCCATAACAGCGCCATATTTAATTTTATTTTGGGCGGCCAAATCCTCGGCCGATTTAATTGAAGAACCCATGCGGGACATGGTCAAAAAGGCAGCCAGATTGGCTGTATAGGAGTTCAACATCATCAAGGCGAAGAACCACCAAATGGCGGTTACCAGGCGGGTTGACGAGGCTCTATAATAAAGAAGTTTTTGTGAGATCCAAAAGACCATTAGGCGGGTTAAAAAAAATACTGAAGCCTTAAAGGTCCATAGGCGTGGATTATCTAAAGAATTTGAAGCAGGGACTTAAAAGCTCACAGACATGGATTTTTTAAGAATTTTTCGACAGGAGTAAAAGGTCCATAGGGATGAATTTTCCAGAGGGTAAAAATGTAAAAAACAATAGGTATAAAGTCCAAAATTTAAATTAGTAGGAGATTTATGGGAGTTGGTTCCAAATCGTGTAAAATTACATGCTAGTTCAGACCACGGCTGCTGAATGACATCGTGTCATATTTCATTTTAGTTTAGACACATGCCACGGCTCCAGTTTGTAGCATAGACACGAATCAAATGTGGAACTGCAGTCACAATCTTATGATCGGTAGTAAAGACACACATCTGGTAGGTGCTGCCGATAATAATTGTAGTAAAGGGTGAATCACAACTGGTGGTCCATGTCTAAGCTACAAATACGAGCTTGAGAGGGAGTTGATTTTTTAAATATTTTTTTCCGAGGCCTATACAAGGCGTGGATTTTTCAAATAATTTTTTCCGAGGCCTACACAAGGAGCAAGGCCTATACAAGGCGTGAATTTTTCAAATAATTTTTTCCGCTGCCTACACAAGGCGCGAGGCCTATACAAGGCGTGAATTTTTCAAAAAAATTTCCCGAGGCCTACTCAAGGGGTGGATTTTTTGCAGGGCCTTCAATTGCATTAAGTGAGGATATTTAAACAACGTTTACTTACTTCGGCAAAATATCACACCCTTGACCCATAATCGAACCCATTGTCAGCCAAGTGGTGTTGGTGATGGTCCATAGATTTTCATATTCCTCCGGCTCCTTACAGGGATGGGGATTTTCCCAATCCTCGGGTGCCATGCGAGCCAAAAAGAATAGTAGCAGGGATACACCTAGATAACCTGTAGCCATATACACCCATACATCCTTCGAAAATGGTAATAAAAATGAAAAGAGATTTGCCGGTTGGACCTCAGGTTTCATATACAGAATACTAATGCCCAGGGTCATAAAGGGTGGCGTGAAATCTACAGCCTTGCGGCGGGCCGAAGTCATGGTCAAGTCACAAATACCCAAATCAGCATTCTGAAAAAAATTACGGATTTGAATTTCAGCTCCAAAAAATTACCCATCCTCTTACCCCATCCAGTAGCTGTCCCACCAGGCCATCCCACTTTTGGGTCTGCTTATTGAATCCACCATAACGGCCATCCGGAGCCAAATGAAATTCGTATTTGAAATTCAAGAGACGGGCAATATTGTCGATCAGATCCAAGCTGTAGCCTTCATAGCGGGCATTGCCCTCAAGAATCTCGCCATCCTTGGCTTCTCTGAAAAGAAAAAAATCCAATAATTAAATAATGTTGGTGATTGATTTCCATCGATACCCACCTCTCCATTAGAAATGGTGCTCCCAAGCGGGACGTAATAATAAAGGTTTTATTCTGCAATTTGGCCCCCACACGTTTGTCGCTATCATCATCGGCACCCAGTAGACTAAAGCCATTAACCGGATCCCAGGTGGATAAATCCAACAGCCCTGTCTGAGTCACCTCCAGGCAGCGAAGGGTGAAAAAACTCCTCTGGCCATATTGATTGAAGTCGATGCGACCAGTAAAGGCTTCATCGGAGCGCTAAAATCAAAATAAAACTAGAAGTTAGGAGACTTCTAAATCCACGCCTTGTGGCCTTTGGTATCCTGACAAAAATTCTTTAAAAATCCACGCCTTGTGGCCTTTGGTATCCTGACAAAAATTCTTTAAAAATCCACGCCTTGTGGCCTTTGGTATCCTGGCAAAAATTCTTTAAAAATCCACTCCTCATGGTCTTTGGTATCCTGGCAAAAATTCTTTAAAAAATCCACGCCTAATGGCCTTTGGTATCCTGGCAAAAATTCTTTAAAAAATCTACGCCTCATGGCCTTTGGTATCCTGGCAAAAAGTCTTTAATAAATCTACGCCTCATGGCCTTTGGTATCCTGCCCAAAAATTCTTTAAAAAATCCACGCCTCATGGCCTTTGGTATCCTGCCCAAAAATTCTTTAAAAAATCCACGCCTCATGGCCTTTGGTATCCTGCCCAAAAATTCTTTAAAAAATCCACGCCTCATGGCCTTTGGTATCCTGCCCAAAAATTCTTTAAAAAATCCACGCCTCATGGCCTTTGGTATCCTGCCCAAAAATTCTTTAAAAAATCCACGCCTCATGGCCTTTGGTATCCTGCCCAAAAATTCTTTAAAAAATCCACGCCTCATGGCCTTTGGTATCCTGGCAAAAATTCTTTAAAAAATCTACGCCTCATGGCCTTTGGTATCCTGCCCAAAAATTCTTTAAAAAATTCACGAAGTAAGGCCTCACTTACCGCCTTGATAAATTCCAAAATCCTTCTCCCCTGAGGCCATGGACGATTTCGTCGACAGGCTATATCGGGTGGGTTAAGTTCCTCAACAATCTCCAGTTCTGCCAGGCCTTTTACAAACATCCAAACAGCATCGCTAAGCAGGACCATGTTGGTCTAAAAAAAATTCAAAATTAGGATCGAGATCTGACCTCTTTGTGAATTTCCCACCTTAATTTGTGTCACATCCACCCTATAAAAGTTCCCCTCCCTCTTCTCACGCTCCTCCCAATCCCGAACCAGATTTCGCAGCTGATAATCGGTGGGATCCATTAGCCGTATAGTAGTTATATTGGCGCCCACATTTTGGATTTGCTGCAGATCCAGGGTATGGGTATCCAAGGTGGGTATGAAAATGCTCTGAAAAAAATAAGCAGAGGATAAAATCGCAATTTAAATGAATCCTCAACTGACCTGATATTCTCCCAACATTTTCAGCTCATCGGCCTGTTTCAGTATCTCCAGTATCTTATCGAGAGAACAATGCAAAATCATACAGTTATCGGTTGAGGTTTTGATACTCTTCAAGAAGGGCCTATAATCGGAATCATCTGGCAATTGTTTGACCGTGGTGGGATTGCTACTTGGCTCTCCTATTTGCAGAATATCCTGCAGCTGTTGTAGTTCCTTTTCGGTTTCATAGACCACCGTAAAGGAACGCCAACCAAAACTCTGCACCGTCTCCGACAGACCCTGGGAGAATTGCAAATTATAGGGGTGGAAATTCAAGGACATACTTCTCAGCGGTTTCTCATCCAAGGCCTCACTGGGTGACCACTCGAAAGTGAAGTGGGGTATTTCCAGGGTGTGACAAATCGAAGCGACGATATCTGGAGATAAAAAAGGGTTTAAAAATTATTTTAAGGATCATCAAAAAGGCCTTGGATCATATATATAGGGCGTGGATTTTTTAGATAATCTTTTTCAAGAGGCCTATATAAGACGTGGATCTTTCAAATAATCTTTTTCTAGAGGCCTATATCAGCCGTGGATCTTTTAAATATTTTTATACCCTTCACCACATTGTGGTACAGGGTATTATGTTCCTTTTGAGAATATGCATAGAATCACTTTCTAAGTCGATTTATGCATGTCCGTCCGTCTGTCCGTCTGTTGGTGTTAAATTGTAAACAAAGCACAGGTCACATATAATCCGATTTGGATGAAATTTGGTACAGGTCAGATTTATATATAGCTCCCATATATATTTTCGTCCGATTTTATGTAAATGGTGCACCAATGTCCCAATATATTCTTCGATTTGCCCGAAATTTGGAACATCTTACTGAATTGAGTCTAGAATGATGTGTGCAAAGTTTCGTGAAAATCGGTTCAGATTTAGATAAAGCTCCCATATATATTTTCGTCCGATTATAGGTAAATGGTTTACCAAAGTCCCTATATATCTTTCGATTTGCACGAAATTTAGCATAGCGTACTGAATTGAGCCTCGAATGCAAAGTTTCATGAAAATCGGTTCAGATTTAGATATAGCTCCCATATATATTTTCGTCTGATTTTACGTCAATGGTGTACCAAGGTCCCTATATATCCTTCGATTTGCACAACATTTGGCATAGCGTACTGAATTAAGTCTAGAACGATGTGTGTAAAATTTCGTGAAAATCGGTTCAGATTTAGATATAGCTCCCATATATATTTTCGTCCGATTTTATGTAAAAGGTGCACCAATGTCCCAATATATCATTCGATTTGCACGAAATTTGGCATAGTGTACTGAATTGAGCCTAGAATGATGTGTGCAAAGCTTCATGAAAATCGGTTCAGATTTCGATAGAGCTCCCATATATATTTTCGTCCGATTTTACGTCAATGGTGTACCAATGTCCCTATATATCCTTCGATTTGCACAACATTTGGCATAGCGTACTGAATTAAGTCTAGAACGATGTGTGTAAAATTTCGTGAAAATCGATTCAGATTTAGATATAGCTCCCATATATATTTTCGTCCGATTTAAGGTAAATAGTGCACCAAAGTTCCTATATATCCTTCGATTTGCACGAAATTTGGCACAGCGAAATGAATAAAGTCTGGAATGATGTGTGTTAAGTTTCGTGACAATCGGTTCCGATTTAGATATATCTCCCATATATATCTTCATCCGATTTAAGGTAAATCGTGTAGCAAAGTCCCTATATATCTTTCGATTTGCACGGAATTTGGCACAGCGTAAAGAATAAGGTCTGGAATGATGTGTGTAAAATTTCGTGAAAATCGGTTCCGATTTAGATATAGCTCCCATATATATTTTCATCCGATTTAAGGTAAATGGTGTACCAAAGTCCCTATATATCTTTCGATTTGCACGAAATTTTGCATAGCGTACTGAATTAGGTCTCGAATGATGTGTGTTAAGTTTCCTGAAAATCGGTTCAGATTTACATATAGCTCCCATATATATTTTCGTCCGATTTAAGGTAAATGGAGTACCAAAGTCCCTATATATCTTTCGATTTACGCGAAATTTGGCACAGCGTAATGACTAAGGTCTGGAATGATGTGTGTTAAGTTTCATGAAAATCGGTTCAGATTTAGATATAGCTCCCATATATATTTTCGTCCGATTTAAGGGGACCCCCCCCCCATTCTCGGGGTCAAAATTTTTGTTGACTTAATTCCAATCTACACTAATTCAAGAATGTCCCTGCAAAATTTCAAGTTAAAATCTCAAGAACTCTTGAAGATATAGCCTATTTATTGTGTCAGTATCAAGTGACGGCTGAAGGGCTTCTCAAACTTTAAACGCGTTTTTCTCTAAACATTTTTTTGCGAATGGCGGGCACGATAACTCAAAAACTAATAATCCAATCGGTTCCAAATTTTGCATCGTTTCTCTGGGAGTGTATAGCTCTCGTATGAACTAGGATAAAGCCAATCGGTGAAGATCTTCCTTATTTTTTAACTTGGTTTTTGGTAAAAAATCGGCGATTTTCCAAAAATATTTTTTCAAAGGTCCGCCATTTTGTTAATTTTAGAGCGAGGTCAATAATCCTAGTTCATACGAGAGCCAGACATGTACTCTTTCAAACACCGTTGGAATTTTCGGATTCCGATGTTCCAGTGAGGAGTTATCATGCCCGCCATCAAAAGTAAGGACTTTTCTTTGATCACAAAAAACAACAACAAAACAACAACAAAAAATTTTTGTAAATTATTTTTCTTCCTTTTTAAATCTTCAAATACATATGTGCAAAGTTACAAACCTTAAAAAGCATTGGTATTCATTTACCAGCCCATTTAAAATCTTAAAAATAAAAAATCGAGAATGGGGGGGTTCCCTTAAGGTAAATAGCCCACCAAAGTCCTTATATACCTATCGATTGGCACGAAATTTGGCACAGAGTAATGAATAAGGTCTGGAATGATGTGTGTTAAGTTTCGTAAAAATCGGTTCAGATTTAGATATAGCTACCATATATATCTTCATCCGATTTAAGGTAAATTGTGTACCAAAATCCCTATATATCTTTCGATTTGCGCGAAATTTGGTTTTTACTAATTTTTTAATGCCTTTTTTTAACTTACCTGAACCACTCCCTTGTATGGGCCCAAATATGCCAATGACACCCTGGGAAATTAAATTACATGCTGAAATTCGGAAATTTTTGTTATACATTTCACAATTAGCTATGTAAGTGTGTGTGTGTGTGCTCAACTTACCTGCCTTTTCCATTAAAAAACTATCCTCAGCATTGGCATAGACCACAACACCCTCCAATTCGAAGCTGCGCTCATTTATATTCGATCTATCAATGGCCGAATGGAAGGCTATCTCCAGATCATCCTGAGGAGCATCCAAAATTATGCCTAAGGATAAAATTTCCATTTTTAGGTGCTGAAGAATTCGAACTTTCAAGAAATTTCCTTACCAATGTTAAATTTAGGTTTGGCCTTGACCAAGATTACGAAAATTAAATAGAGGAAAATTTTGAAAATCTGCATTTTTGAAAGGTATTTTTTTGGGATTTTTTTTTTAATTTTTAAATTTTTTTTTTTTAAATTTTATTTCACAATTTTTTTCGATTTTACATTTTTTTCACCAAATAATTTTTTTATGATGATGTAAACTTTCGATTTCTTCACTAAAAATTTTTTCTACCGTCTGCTGCTGCCTTGCAGCTGTGTGACCGATCGACAAAATAATGTTGCCTCGTCTAAGGCCTAAATTTAAATGAATTTTTTGGTTTTGTCTTGATTATGCTGCCGTTGTTGTCTTGATCAAAATTAATTGACAAAATGCACTTAAAGTGAATTAAATAAAAAATAAAACGAAAATGCCAAAACGGCGAGGGAAATCCGCACAAAGCAGAACGGCAAAGGAAAAAACATGAAACAATGACCCAGAAATCCGCATTTGCTTGGTGTGGCCACCCAAAACCCTTTTTTGTTGTGATCAGCATATTCTAAATAATCAAAGGCAACAACAAAAACAACAACAACAACGAACGGAATGCATTTGGCCAAGGTCCAAAAATCCCCAAACCTCCAACCAACCATCAGAACCCCCACCTCCTCACAATGAATAAAACCAAAACATAATTTATTTTCTCTTTAATTACTCTCACAGAAATCCTCTCCCTCTCTCTCTCTCTCCCTCATATCTTCTTCCTTATAACATGATCATAGAACACCACATGACCATATCTCTCCGAAAAATGCATAGATCGGCTGCAATTTTTACTATATTCCGGCTTATCGATATCGACACAGACTCGCTTGTGATCACCTTTATGCATAAAAATCAAACCATAATGGACATCGTGCTGGACCAGATAATTATCCGAATCATTGTAGATCACCACTCCCTTATGCCAATCGAAAAAACTCAAGTCGCGTGGATTCGGTTTCAATTTCAAACGTTCGGCAAAGACGCCAGCCCAATCGGTGCAATTCTCCTCCTGTAAATTTGCCTCATGCAGACTTTGTTCAAAATCAATATAACCGGATATTTCGAAACCGGTTTTCAAACGGTGTTTCACGAAAATTATTGTCTGGAAGAAAAACAGAAATTTTTTTGGAAATTTTAAATTTTTATAAAAATATATTTGCGGAATAAAAACTAGTAAGGAAGGTAGAAAAGTCGGACTGGGCCGACTATATGATAGTCTTCACCACTTTGGGTTATCGTACATATGTATTCTTACAAATGCATGTCAATGTTCCCTCGAATGAAAAACTTCCTTCTGAAGGGTATATAGGGACTTTAGTGGACTATTTACCTAAAATCGGACGAAAATATATATAGGAGCTATGTCTCAATCTGAACCGATTTTCACGAAACTTTGCACACATTATTCTAGACTTAATTAAGTACGCTAAGCCAAATTTCGTGCAAATCGAACGATATATAGGGACTTTGGTGCACCATTTACATTAAATCGGACGAAAATATATACGGGAGCTATATCCAAATCTGAACCGATATTCAGGACACTTGACACACATAATTCTAGACCAAATTCATTACGCTGTGCCACATTTCGTGCAAATCGAAAGGTATATAGGGACTTTGGGGCACTATTCACCTAAAATCGGACGAGCTATAACTAAATCTGAACCGATTTTCACGAAATTTTACACACATCGTTCTAGACTTAATTTGGTACGTTATGCCAAATTTCGTGCAAATCGAAAGATATATAGAGACTTTGGTACACCATTTACATTAAATCGGACGAAAATATATATTGGAGCTATATCCAAATCTGAACCGAATTTCAGGAAATTTAACACACATCGTTCTAGACTTGATTCGGTAAGTTATGCCAAATTTCGTGCAAATCGAAAGATGTATAGGGAATTTGGTGCACCATTTACATAAAAATCGGGAGAAAATATATATTGGAGCTATATCTAAATCTGAACCGATTTTCGGGAAACTTAACACACATCGTTTTAGACTTAATTTAGTACGATATGCCAAATTTCGTGCAAATCGAAGGATATATAGGTACGTTGGTGCATCATTTACATAAAATCGGACGAACTTATATATGGGAGAAATATCGAAATCTCGACCGATTTTCCCAAAACTCACCACTCATCTTTCTAGACTCAATTAAGTACGCTGTGCCAATCGAGTGATATATAGGGACTTTGGTGCATCATTTACATAAAATCGGACGAACATATATGGGAGCTATATCGAAATCTCGACCGATTTGCCCAAAATTTAACACACATCGTTCTAGACTTAATTTTGTACGCTATACCAAATTTCGAGCAATTCGAAGTATATATAGAGACTTTAGTACACCATTTACCTTAAATCGGACCAAAATGTATATGGGAGATATATCCAAATCTGAACCGATTTTCCTGAAACTTAGAACACATCGTTCTAGACTTAATTCGGTACGTCATGTCAAATTTCGTGCAAATCGAAGTACGTATAGAGACTTTGGTACACCATTTACCGTAGATCGGACGAAAATATATATGGCAGCTATATCCAAATGTGAACCGATTTTCACGAAACTTAACACACATCATTCTAGACCTAATTCATTACGCTGTACCAAATTTCGTGCAAATCGAAAGATATATAGGGACTTTGGTACACCATTTAACATTTCTCAAAAATTTCGTGAAGATTGGTCCATAACTGTGGCCTGTATTAAATCGGGCGAAACTATATACGGGAGCTATATCTAAATCTGAACCGATTTTCAGGAAACTTAACACACATCATTCTAGACCTTATTCATTACGCTGTGCCAAATTTGGTGCAAATCGAAAGATATATAGGGACTTTGGTTCACTATTTACCTTAAATCGGACGAAAATATATATGAGAGCTATAACTAAATCTGAACCGATTTTCACGAAATTTTACACACATCGTTCTAGACTTGATTCGGTAAGTTATGCCAAATTTCGTGCAAATCGAAAGATATATAGGGACTTTAGTGGACTATTTACCTAAAATCGGACGAAAATATATATGGAAGCTATGTCTCAATCTGAACCGATTTTCACGAAATTTTACACACATCGTTCTAGACTTAATTCGGTACGTTATGCCAAATTTCGTGCAAATCAAAAGATATATAGGGACTTTGGTACACCATTTACCTTAAATCGGACGAAAATATATATCGGAGCTATATCTAAATCTGAACCGATTTTCAGGAAACTTTGCACACGTCATTCAAGACTTAATTCAGTACGCTATGCCAAATTTCCTGCAAATCAAAATATATGTAGGGTCTTTGGTACACATTTACCTTAAATCGGACGAAAATATATATGAGAGCTATATCCAAATCTGAACCGATTTTCACGAAACTTGACACACATCATTCTAGACCTAATTCATTACGCTGTACCAAATTTCGTGCAAATCGAAAGATATATAGGGACTTTGGTGCACCATTTACATTAAATCGGACGAAAATATATATGGGAACTATATCTAAATCTGAACCGATTTTCAGGAAACTTAACCTACACAACTAGCACGCCCGATTAGAGGTCAGCAGTACATTTTCCTTACACTGAGATATTTTCCGAATATCTCTAATATTCGGCACTTGTTCATTTCCATTCCCCGTGGTTTGTGTTGTGATGTTCGGTTTATGGAATACAAATTTTGTCATTTTTCACACAAAAGTCAGAGTTCATTTGACCCGCTAAATATTGATCGATCTTTATCAAAACAGGCATGCTTATTCTTCGGCCCGATTCCCTTCTCCATGTAAAAATTCGCGATGTTCGAGCCATAATTGCGGCCTCTAGAACGACCAGAGAATCAAACAAAAATAAAGTTTTAGTCCATTTCATCCCCTAACCGATTAACCGATCTTTACCAAAAACAATAGGAGTCTTCATTGACCAGAACATCATCCATGCTAAATTCCGTGAAAATCGGCCCATAACTGTGGTACCGTTTTTACAAATTATAATGGACAGACGGACGGACGGACACACATGTCTAAATCAACTCATTTAGTCGAGGTATTACGATCGGTATGCTTAAAAGTGGGTCTAGGAACAATATTTTGAGGCGTTGCAAACTCTTGGGGCTGCACAATGTTATAATACCCTGACAACATAGTTGTGTAGGAGGTTTCCAAAACCTCCCTCTGACCCCCCAACTCAAACACCCCCACAGTGGTTCATATAAAATTCAAATTGTACCAAATTTAGTACCATTTAGTACCCATAAATAATAATTCCTTAAACTTAATCCTGAATCTCCATTCCTACACCCCTACAATGATCCTGACTCCAAATTTCATTGTCCCCGTTCTATCGGTTCACCCAAATCCAAATGGTACCAATTATAGTACGATTTAGTACTTTTCGTACACAAAATTTCCAAAGCTATGTACATATCCCAATCCTACTCTCCGGTGGTAATTTTTTTATTTAAATTTTCATGATTCCAGCTCGATGTGTACCTCAAAATTCAAATTGTACCAAATATAGTACCATATAGTACTCTTTGTACGCATGAGTACACGCTTTCAAAACCATCTCCTTACATCAACCCTACTTCTCAACCGACCGTATTCACATTTCAAATTTCAATGTTTTAGTTCTTTCCCTTCACATGCTACGAAATTGTACCAAATTTAGTACATTTTAGTACTAAAAAATCCTTTGCTACATCTATTCTACACTCAACGATGTCGATGGCACTTAAGCATAATTTTACCGATATCATTTTCTGCACATTTGCCCGCTCCCTCTGAGCCATTTCTATTAGCACCGGATCCGTAGATTTCATGCCATCACTAAAAAATATTGTCGACTTCTTAATGGGCCATAGCGACTCCTCGACCGCAGCCTTGTGTTGTTCAAATTGTTCCGGCGTATAAATTTCAGCTGTCGAACGATAACCCAACTCCACCAACATGCGACAAAAGCGGACATTTCGTATAAACCTTATATCACTTCGCGTGACAAAGGTGTCCAAATAGTCCTCATAGGTGGGACAGTCCAGCAGGAACATATCCTGTGCTATTGTACCGGTCATCATGTAGGATTTTTTTTCGAAAATAAAAAATTGAAAAAATTTTGAAATTTGAAGTTTGAGAAAAAAAAAATCTTGACAACAAGAAAAAATTTAATGTTGAAGGGACAGTGGGACAAAGGGGTGATTTTTTCCTAATATCCTCATTATCAAATATTAATGCCTTTGATATTTGGAGGGCGTTGGAGGACCCTCCTCCAATTGCCATTTTATTTATTTCCCCATCGTGTTTGTTTATTATTTACAATTAGCCATTTTTTATTGATTTCAAATCAATTAGCCATCAAATCGTTTACACAAAATTTTAATGGCCACATTGAGAAGAGTGCTTCTCCGAGGAACCCACCTCAGAGTGCGCTTCCTCGAACAAGATCGCATGTAAACAAATTTCGCCATGTCATAACAAGTAAACACATTTTTATGAGGAATTTTCATGTTTCATTGAAAAATGTTTGTTGTTACAGGGCCAGAGTATACATTTGGGTTTAATTTTTTCCTACCAAAAAATTGGTCGGATTTTTTTTTAAGTAAAAAATGTTCGGAATTTTTACACCACAGGGTATTGTGACTTTGTGCATGTACAAAGTACAGGTCGCATTTTTGATTCGAATTGGATGAAAGTTTGCAAAGCTCATTTATTTAGCCCAACGACGAACCCTACTGAAATTGCGAAAAATCGGTTCAGATTTAGATATAGCTCCCATATATATTTTCGTTCGATTTTAGGTAAATGGTGCACAAAAGTCCCTTTATATGGTTCGATTTGCACGAAATTTGGCACAGCGTAAAGAATTAGGTCTAGAACGATGTGTGTTAAGTTTCGTGAAAATCGGTTCAGATTTAGATATACCTCCCATATACATTTTCGTCCGATTTTATGTAAATAGTGCACAAAAGTCCGTATATATCCTTCGATTAGCACGAAATTTGGCACAGCGTACTGAATTAAGTCTAGAAAGATGTGTATTAACTTTCGTAAAAATCGGTTTAGATTTAGATATAGCTCCCATATATGTTTTCGTCCGATTTTAGATAAAAAGTGCACAAAAGTCCTATATATACTTCGATTTTCACGAAATTTGGCATAGCGTATTGAATTAAGTCTAGAATGATGTGTTCTAACTTTCGTGAAAATCGGTTCAGATTTAGATATAGCTCCCATATATATTTTCGGCCGATTTTAGGTAAATTGTGCACCACAGTGTCTATAGATCCTTCGATTTGCACGAAATTTGTCACAGCGTACTGAATTGAGTCTAGAATGATATCTGCTAAGTTTCGTGAAAATCGGTTCGGATTTAGATATAGCTCCCATATATATATTCGTCCGATTTTAGGTAAATAGCCCACCAAAGTCCCTATATATCCTTCGATTTGCACGAAATTTGGCATAGCATACTGAATTAGGTCTAGAATGATATCTGCTAAGTTTCGAGAAAATCGGTTCGGATTTTGATATAGCTCCCATATATATTTTCGTCCGATTTGAGATAAATGGTGTACCAAAGTCACTATAAATCTCTCGATTTACACGAAATTTGATATAGCGTACTAAATTAGGACTAGAGTGATGCGCGTTAAGTTTCGTGAAAATCGGTTCAGATTTAGATATAGCTTTCATATATGTTTTCGTCCGATTTTATGTAAATGGTGCGCCATAGCCCCTATAATTCTCTCGATTTCCACGAAATTTGGCACAGCGTACTGAATTAGCCCTGGAATGATGTATGCAAAGTTTCGTAAAAATCGGTTCAGATTTAAATATAGCTCCCATATATATTTTCGTCCGATTTTATGTAAATGATTCACCAAAGTCCCTATATATCCGTCGATATGCACGAAATTTTGTACAGGGTACTGAATTGAGTCTAGAATGATGTGTGCAAAGTTTCGTGAAAATCGGTTCAAATTTAGATATAGCTCCCATATATATATTCTTCCGATTTAAGGTAAATGGTGTAGAAAAGTCACTTTATATCCTTCGATTTGCAAGAAACTTGGCATAGCGTACTGAATTGAGGCTAGAATGATGTGTGTCAAGTTTCGAGAAAATCGGTTCGGATTTTGATATAGCCTCCTTACATAGTTTTGTCCGATTTTATGTAAATGGTGCACCAAAGTCCCTATAAATCTCTCGATTTGCACGAAATGTTGCACAGCGCGTTGAATTAGGTCTAGAACAATGTGTGTTAAATTTCGTGAAAATCGGTTCAGATTTAGATGTAGCTCCCATATATATTTTCGTCCGGTTTTAGGTAAATAGCGCACCAAAGTTCCTATATATCTTTCGATTTGCACGAAATTTGGCACAGCATACGGTATTAAGTCTAGAAAGATGTGTGTTTAATTTCGTGAAAATCGGTTCATATTTAGATATAGCTCCCATATATATTTTCGTCCGATTTTATGTAAATGGTGCACCAAAGTCCATATATATCATTCGGTTTTCACGAAATTTGGCGTAGCGTACTAAATTAAGTCTGCAATGATGTGTGTTACATTTCATGAAAATCGGTTCAGATTTAGATATAGCTCCAATATATATTTTCTTCCTATTTAATGTAAATTGTGCCCAAAAGTCACTTTATATCCTTCGATTTGCACGAAATTTGGCATAGCATAGTGAATTGAGTCTAGAATGATGTGTGCAAAGTTTCGTAAAAATCGGTTCAGATTTACATATAGCTCCCATATATATTTTCGTACGATTTTATGTAAATGATGCACCAAAGTCCCTATATATCTTTCGATTTTCACGAAATTTGGCAAAGCGTACTGAATTAGGTCTAGAACGATGTGTGTTAAATTTCGTAAAAATCGGTTTAGATTTAGATGTAGCTCCCATATATATTTTCTTCCGATTTGAGGTAAATAGCGCACCAAAGTCCCTATAAATCTCTCGATTTGCACGAAATTTGGCATAGCGTAATGAATGGATTCTAAAATGATGAGTGGTAAATTTCGTAAAAATCGGTTCAGATTTTTTAAAAATTATTTTTAAGGCTCTACAATAAGGCGTAGATTTTTTAAAAGTTGAAAATTATTTTTAGGGCTCGTCTACAAGGTGTGGATTTTTATACGCTACACGACTATGTTGTGAGGGTATTATAGCTTTATGCAGCCCCAAGAGTTTGTGACGCCGAGAAATTTTAGTCCTAGACCCACCTTTAACCCTTTCAGTGTTTTTGTCGAATATATTCGACATTTAAAATTACTCTCTTTCTTTGCGATTTTACGGTTATCCTATGTACCGTTACAATTGACGTTTTTGTTTTTGCTGAAAGACAGACAAAATTGTCCGAGGGTTAAAATAAAAATTGTTTTTTTTTTTCTAAACTCTGCGCCTTTATATGATCTAAAATTTTAAATTTTAGATTTTTATTCCGACAAAAATTTTTTTTGACACTGAAAGGGTTAAGTATATTGATCGTCATATCTCGACTAGCTGAGTCGATCTGGACATGTGTGTCCGTCCGTCTGTCCATTATAATTTGTAAACACGATACAGGCCACAATTATGGGCCATTCTTGAAGAAATTTTGAATGTAGGATGGACTCTGGCCAATGTAGACCCCTATTGTTTTTGGTAAATATCGGTTAATATCTAGGGAATGAAATGGACCAAAAACTTTTTTTGTCTGATTTTCTGATTGCTCCAGACGCCGCAGGGGATTGGGCCAAAGAATAAAAATCGGTCAATATTTAGCTGGTCAAATGGACCATGACTTTTGTGTGAAAAAACGCAAAATTTGTATTCTATGGCGTATATATTTACTCCTGAAGGACACATACCCTAGAAGCCGATATCCGATAAAGGAGTGGTTGACCTTTAACTTGATACTAATTATATTACCGTATGTACTTGGATGTGGGAGTTACACTTAAATATCTACATGTGCTTACGTATTCAGATATTATTCAGTAACGCATTACCACACTAGATGACTGAGAAATAGAGCTGATCACTTTGACATTTTTTATGAGGATCCAGGTATGGCCTATAATTTTCGGTGATGATCAGAAAAAAAATTTGGGATGAAATGGACCGAAAATATAATTTGTGTGTGTGTGTGTGTTTTTTTTTTTTTTGAGTCGATCTATAAGCCACGATCGAAAGCCGAACGTCACAGCACAACCCACGGTTAAAGGCAACTGGACAAGTAATTAGAAGGGCTGTACTCAGTATTAGTAATATTCGGAAAATATGTCAGTGTAAGGAAGAGGGCAAGAAGATGTAACAATCACGAAATATTGCCCAGTCTCGGAATAAAAATCCGCAGAAAGTTAGAGTTGCGTGGGAGTTGTGTAGGGTATCGTATGGTCGGCTTAGTCCAACTATACTGCTCCGCTCACTGGTTTAAAAATTATTTTTTTTAATCATTGACCAAAAAAGTTGGCCGAAATTTTCGACCAAAACCCAAATTAAATTATTGAAAATTGGATTTTTTTCAGTGAGTGAGAGGCCAAACAAAGAAACACGGCGAGTAAAAAAAACACCAACAACAGCAACCAGTCAAAACATATGTCTGCTCTAAAACCGCACACGAGCATCCAAACATATGGACAAACAATTTATGAGTTTTTACAAGAGTTTTTCCCCAAAACGAAAACAAAGCGACAAAAATATTTTCTGATGTTTTTTTTATCTTCTTCTTCATCGTTCGTCAATATTTCTGTTATGAATGCCATCCCGCCGCCAATGGTGCGATCCACCCCCAACCCCAAAAATAAAACACTTTAAAAATTTGTTGTTGATCCAAGAAGTAAAACTAATGACGAAGGCGACAATGAGCAACAACAACACCATCGTGAAAATATGAAAATGGAAAAAATTGTCTTAATGGACAAAAAAAATCATAACGAAAAAAAGAAGAAGAAAAAATGACGGAAAATATGCGGAAAATTCTTCTAAAACACAAATCAGTTGATACGTTAAAGGCGACAAGTTTGGACGGCATTTTTTTCGGGTGTGTGTGAATCGAAAAATAAATGAAAAGGCATTTTTCGAAAGGCCAGTGCATATTTCTCCATTATTTCGTTTTGAGAATAATGAAAATTTAATTTTGAAAAAAAAGAAATATTTTTTACGTAATAAAAATCTATAAAAAAAGTTTTTACAAATTTAAAAAAATTAAAAAAAAAAAGTATTTTACATTCGAAAAAATGTAGACAGTTTTCTCCATAAAAATTCTAAAAAATGCAGCTTTATTGGTATTGGTGTTATCTTCTCTTAATTCTCTGCAATACTCTCAAAATTTCACACGAATTGGTGGTGGAGACCCGGACAACTGTCAAAGTGGGTAAGCGAAAAACAAAACAAAATTTTTTTTTGAATTATTTTTTCCAATCAAAATATAAGGCGTGGATTTTTTAAATAATTTGTTTTCAACATCTATATAAGGCGTGGATTTTTTAAATAATTTTTTCCAACATCTATATAAGGCGTGGATTTTTTTAAATAATTTTTTCCAACATCTATATAAGGCGTGGATTTTTTAAATAATTTTTTCCAACATCTATATAAGGCGTGGATTTTTTAAATAATTTTTTCCAACATCTATATAAGGCGTGGATTTTTAAATAATTTTTTCCAACATCTATATAAGGCGTGGATTTTTAAATAATTTTTTCCAACATCTATATAAGGCGTGGATTTTTAAATAATTTTTTCCAACATCTATATAAGGCGTGGATTTTTAAATAATTTTTTCCAACATCTATATAAGGCGTGGATTTTTTAAATAATTTTTTCCAACATCTATATAAGGCGTGGATTTTTTAAATAATTTTTTCCAACATCTATATAAGGCGTGGATTTTTTAAATAATTTTTTCCAACATCTATATGAGGCGTGGATTTTTTAAATAATTTTTTCCGGCGATCGTGAGCAACAATCTCCTACAGATGTGGGTGTCTTGCAATCTGTAGTCGAAGTAGATAGCTACAAGCACTCAGCCTTCGGGCGACACCAACTCTGAGTTGAGGAACCTCAGGGGAAGAGCAATCTCGACCCAGCCTTCAGAGACAGGAGGAAACTCAACTTCGAACTCTGAGTCTGTTCATAATAATCAGACAATCATAACCGTCTTGGAGAGCCGGAAGAGAAAAGAGGCTGACAAGATGATAGAGGAGGTGAGGTGAGGATATCGCCAAACTCACAACCAGGAAGAAGCAGTTGTCTGGGGCACAAAGGCGCAAGTTGGCCAGAATGAACCGGATGAACAAAAAGGGCGAGATACAGACAAAGGCTCAAAAGGATAAGCCTGAACTTCCCTCCACTTCTGCGGAAGCGGTAAAGAGGATAAAGTCTTCGGATGAGCAGGCGAACCAGAACCAGTAAATAAAGTCCTAAAGTCGGACGGGGCCGACTATATGATATCCTTCACCACTTTGGGTATATTCAAAAGATGAATCCTAACAGACGTCGCATTTTTGAAGCACCATTAAAATGAAATTGGATCCACAAAACATTTCATTCTGCAACCGATACTATTTTTTTTTAATTTAGTCCGATGTAGAACCTATATCTAAATATGAACCGATTTTCAGGAAACTTAACACACATCATTCTAGACCCCATTCATTACGCTGTGCCAAATTTCGTGCAAATCGAAAAATATTTAGGGACTTTTGTGGACCATTTACATTAAATCGGACGAAAATATATATGGGCGCTATATCCAAATCTGAACCAATTTTCAGGAAACTTAACACACATCATTCTAGACCTAATTCATTACGCTGTGCCAAATTTCGTGCAAATAAAAACATACGTAGGGACTTTGGTGGACCATTTACATTAAATCGGACGAAAATATATATGGGAGCTATATCTAAATCTGAACCGATTTTCAGGAAACTTAACACACATCATTCTAGACCTAATTCATTACGCTGTGCCAAATTTCGTGCAAATCGAAAGATATATAGGGACTTTGGTGCACTATTTACCTAAAATCGGATGAAAATATATATGGGAGCTATATCTAAATCTAAACCGATCTTCAGGAAACTTAACACATATGATTCTGGACCTAATTCATTACGCTCTGCCAAATTTCGTGCAAATCGAAAGATACTTAGGGACTTTGGTGGGCCATTTACATTAAATCGGGCGAAAATATATGCGGGAGCTACATCTAAATCCGAACCGATTTTTCCCAATTTCAATAGGGTTCGTCCTTGGGCCAAATAAGTGACCTATGCTAAATTTCATCCAAATCGGATCATAAATGCAACCTGTACTTTGTTCACAAAAATACATGGACGGACAGGCGGACATGCGTAAATCGACTCAGAAAGTGATTATATTCATATTCTCAAAAGGAACCATGGGTCTATCTCGATTCCTTTTGCCTGTTACAAACATATGCACAAAGACATAATACCCTGTACCACAGTGTGGTGAAGGGTATAAAAAGAGCTTCCCGTCGATCGATAGTAAGAGAAAGCCAAGTCAAACCAACGTCAAAGGAGACTGCCACGAGATTCCACTGACGAGGGAAGACGAAGCTGGTTCTTGTATCAGGAAGGCGAGCGCGGAGTCGGAATCTTACGCAAAGACCGGGAATCCCAAAAGGACCAATCGGTATTTGCGAAAGAGGAAGATGACAGCAACATATGGTAAGCAGACGCCGTCTTATGCCCAGGTTGCCAGGAAACGCTATCGAGACGAGCTCTGCTATGCAGTGGAGACCCATAAGGAAGTGTTAAATACCGTCAACAGCAACATCATGGAGTATCTAAGACAAGGAGGGGGCTCTATTGATCTGGATAGCTGCGCTTTCAAAGGGGAGTATCTAATGCTGGTATTTGAAAATCCAAATAACATAGAAGCCCTGAGGAAGATAGTGGCAGGCATTGGACCCATAGATGGAACAATGAAACTCAAGCTGGTGAGGAAAACAGACATTCCTCAACTACAAAAGGCTACTGCCTTTGTCAGAGGTTGGGGCAGCGACTTCGACACGAAACGCATGCTCGAGATCTTCATCCTACAGAACAAGACACTGCATGTGAAGAAGTGGGAAGTCTTCCACAGGGAAGAGAAAGAAGAAGGGACTCTCCTTGTGTTAGGCTTGGACAGGTCTTCAATGGAAAGTCTGGCTAAGACCAAGGGCAAGGCGCACTACGTGTCCAATGCCGTTTATTTTAGAATCGGGAAGGCAAGGATTGGAGACGATGAAGCCAATGAAAACAGCGAGGGGAAAGTACCCAGCAACAAAGAGGAGGGAGCCAAGGAGAAGATCACGGACTGCCAAGAAAACCGGTTACTGGAGGACAATTGATAGAAGTTATCCAGATTAACCACCATCGGAGCGAGACGGCAACCCTGACCCTGATGGAACAAATAATAAAAGGTAAAATACACATCGGACTAATCAAGGAACCTTGGACAATTAAAAACAGGATCTCTGGATTAAGGGTCTCTGGATTGGACATGTGGTGGTATCATCCACCCCTCTTTCCAACCTAACCTAACCATATAAGTAATATTTTATAAAAAAAAAACGATTTCACCCCGAAGTTGAATATTTCTTCGAACGACTCTTACTGTGGGATCGTGAACGGGATCTCGAACGTTTAGAGCATTTCGATCGTTTGGAAACCTTTAAATGTTTCGAATGTTTGGATTGCTTTGATTGTTTCAATTGCTTCGACTGGGATGAAGAACGTCGGGAGGTGGACCTGGGAGCCACTGTTCGTGCGTATCGATGAGATGCGATTCGATTCGATTTCTTCGTGATTCAAACTTAGCTCAGCTTTAAAGGCCTCACCGGGTGTAACCTGAAAATGAAAAATAGATTTGTTTAAAAATTTGGGATTTGTTTAAATCCCCCTGGCTACCTTACCTTCTCCCTCACCGCCACCTTTTGTACATTCCACAAAAACTCCAAGATCCCTATAATAATGGCCAACACAATGCCACCCACCAATACCAAGAAAACACCACCCAATTCGTTCAGAGAAAACTCATCAACATCGATGACCTGCGGATCGGTCTCATCATCATCATTGGTGACATTGTGATTTTTCCACCATTTCTTTTTCAGCTTATACAGCTCATTCGTTTCGCTCAGTTTCAAAATCGAAACACTTATATTTGTAATATAATCGGCGCCCAACTGTACAGTCAGTCCATAATGTTTCTCATCAATTTGATCTCCGATTTGTTGGAGATGGCAATCCCGTTCGGTACTTGTGGTCTCTATCAGGAAGCCATACTTGCCCTCACCTTTCCTCATCCGTTCCACACCCTCTTTATTGGACTTCGTGAAAGCCGAAGGTTCGAAGGATTTCATTTGATTTCAAGCCTTCTTATAATTCGTCAGATTCGACTCGGAAAAGAACAGGTGCTGCCACCTTCCAGGGTGCCAAATTTAATTTCATGTTGATCGATCTCATCCTCCAGGCTCTCGATGGAGGGTTTAATTTCATTACTCAGGACGGCAGCCAAATTGGCGGTGTAAGTACTCAACATCCTTAGGGCAAAGAACCACCACATGGCGGTGAGCATGCACATGGGGGCACCTCTTAAAGAAATCGGAGAAAAAAAGAGATGAGGCCTGAAAATCTCCTGAGGCTGAAATTCTTACCTTGGCAGCAAATCACAACCCTGCTGCATAATGGAACCAATCATAAGCCAGCAGGTGTTACGGGTTCGCCACTTATTTTCTAATACTTTGGGATCCTCGACCAAGGGGTTGGGGTTCTCCCATTCATGGTGGGAAATTCTGTAACCAATAAAAAATTATTTTTAAAAAATCCACGCCTTTGTTAGGGTGTCCAAAAAAAATTCTAACGAAATTTTTTTTAGGTGCCCTATTTTTCAGCGGCGAAGATCAAACCGAACTGGCCTTTGATGAGGCCATACGCCAGCTAAATAATCAAAAATTATTCGAGCTACAGTTCGAAACCATAAAGCGGTATGTGCCGAATGAGGATGATAGCTTGGTGCTGCAGCAGTTGAGTGAGTAAAAGATTCGAACTTTGAGAAAATTCAGGATTTTTTAATCGTTTCCTCCCTTCCAGCCTGTGAACTGCTTGCCCAGGGTGTAGCTGCCATATTTGGCCCCAGCTCCAGGGCCACAACAGGTATAGAAAATTTCAAAATATAAAAAAAGAAATAATAACCTAATACCCTCTGAAATTTTTTTCCAGACATTGTTGCCCTGATAGCCAACAATGCCGGGGTACCCCATCTCCAGTATGATTGGGATATACCCATCGATTTGGAACAGCGTCGCCTCAATCATCAAATGTCTGTCAGTGTGGCCCCAGCCCTGCAGTCTGTGGCCCGTGCCTATTTGGATATTATCCGCAAAGATTATAAATGGAAGAAATTTACCCTCATCTATGAAACGGAACAGGGTAGGAGGACATTTTCCAAAACTTTTTTTTTTGTGAGAACATTTCGATTTTTATTTTTTTTTTCAGGTCTGGCCCGCATCCAGGATCTCATGAACATTGCCGAAGTGAAGAGAGAAAATATCAAGATACGAAATCTAGCCGATTATCAGGATGATCTGCGGGTGTTGTGGAAGGAAATTGAAGAAGATTTCCATGAGCAGCGGCTGATAATGGATTGTGAACCGGAATCACTGGTAATTCTGCTAAATCAGGCCAAGGAGTTTAAGCTATTGGGACCGTTTAGGGTAAGTCCGCAGAACTTCGTTATAGAGATAGGAAGGGAAATTATTTGACTCCTGACACGCCAGACCTTATTTGACGCTCCCTTATCTACTATTTCTCCTCTGTCTTTACCAGAATTGGTTCTTAACCCATTTGGACACCCATAGTTCGGGTCTGCTGCAGGCCAATAATGCCGATTTTAAATCGAACATAACCTCGGTGCGTATCAAAGGCGTCGATGCCAATCCATTTGAAAGGAAGAAGACCCGAATAACAGAAGTTGATGTAAGTTGTATTTTTTGGAGAGGTTCTTAAAGGGTTAATAATTTTTATTTATTTTCCCTTTTAGCAAATTTTGGGCAATCAAACCATGCAACCCACTCTAATGTACGATGCTGTGATCCTCTTTGCCAATGCTGCCCGAAATGTTATAACCAGTGGCAAGGATTTTGTGGAGCCCACAGGCAGCTGTGAGGCGGAGGGTTTATATCCATGGATATTGGGCAAATATATTGTGGGCGAGATGAAGAGGGTGAGTCGGGATGAAATTTTTAAAAAATAATATTTTTTTGAGACTTAATATAGGTGTGGATTTTTTAAAAATATTTTTAATTTTTTTTCTTCAGATATCCGAAGACGATGTTGAGCCACCCTTCAAAACGGAAAATATGCGTATCGATGAGTATGGCCTGAGGACAGAATTCAACCTGGAGATCTATAAGCCCACAATTAACGAACCCTTGGCCACATGGACCCCAGATGGCAATATACAATCGGTGCGACGTGATTTCCAAATCTCCTCATCCTCCTCGGCGGCCGTGCAGGATTTTGCCCAAAGTCGTAGGGTCTACAGGGTGGTCACCCATTTCGAGGAACCCTATTTTATGATGAAGTGGGTGAGCAAATAGCCTAGAAATTTATGGAAAATTACATTAAATCTCCGAACGCCTCCGCCTTTAGGGAAGATGCCGAAAATTTTCGTGGTGATGAAAAATATGAAGGATATGCTGTCGATTTAATACAAAAATTATCCGAACTTATGGAATTCGAATATGAGTTTGTTGTGGTCAATGGTAATGGTAAATTTAATCCGGTGACAAAGGAGTGGGATGGGATTATGAGGTCCCTGATAGATCATGTGAGTTGAAGAGGAGGGGGAAGAAATTATGTGGGAATGATTTTTCCGATTTTTCTTCTAGCGTGCCCAAATCGGTGTCTGCGATCTGACCATTACCCAGCTGCGCCGTAAATATGTAGATTTTACAGTACCCTTTATGCAGCTGGGTATTAGTATCCTGTTTTATAAACCCGATCCGGAGGTCAAGGATATTTTTGCTTTCTTACAACCCTTTGCTAAGGAGGTGTGGATGTATGTCATCCTGACGCAATTGGTGATGACCTTGGCATTTGTTTTTATGGCCAGGTAAGGCGTGAATTTTTTAAACATATTTTTTCGGAGGTCCTAACAAAGGCGTGGATTTTGATTTTTTTACAGAATTTCCCACCACGAATGGGAGAACCCCAACCCCTTGGTCGAGGATCCCGAAGAATTGGAAAATAAGTGGCGTACCCGCAACACCGGCTGGCTTATGATTGGTTCCATTATGCAGCAGGGTTGTGATTTATTGCCAAGGTAAGAATTCCAGCCTCAGGATATTTTCTGGAGATCATCTCTTTCTATTTTTTCTCTCATTTCTGTTAGAGGTGCCCCCATGCGCATGCTCACCGCCATGTGGTGGTTCTTTGCCCTAATGATGTTGAGTACCTATACGGCCAATTTGGCTGCCGTCTTGACAAGCAATAAAATTAAACCCTCAATAGAGAGCCTCGAAGATCTAATCGATCAACATGAAATTAAATTTGGCACCTTGGAGGGTGGCAGCACCTCGCTGTTCTTTTCCGAATCGAATGAGACGAATTATCAAAAGGCTTGGAATCAAATGAAATCTTTCGAACCTTCAGCCTTTACCAAGTCCAATAAGGAGGGTGTGGAAAGGGTGCGAAAAGGTGAGGGCAAATATGCCTTTCTGATGGAGACCACAAGTTTGTCATATAATACGGAACGGGATTGCCATCTCCAACAAATCGGAGATCAAATTGGTGAGAAACATTATGGACTGGCTGTGCCGTTGGGCGCCGATTATCGCACAAATCTAAGTGTTTCGATTTTGAAACTGAGCGAAACGAATGAGCTGTATAAGCTGAAAAAGAAATGGTGGAAAAATCACAATGTCACATGTGATGATGATGAGACCGATCCGCAGGTTATCGATGGTGATGAATTGTCTCTGATCGAATTGGGTGGTGTTTTCTTGGTATTGGTGGGTGGCATTGTGGTGGCCATTATTATAGGGATCTTGGAGTTTTTGTGGAATGTTCAAAAGGTGGCGGTAAGGGAGAAGGTAAGGTTGGCTGGGGATTGAAAAAAATTCAGAAAATTTGAAAAATTATTTTTTTTTATTTTCAGGTCACACCCGGTGAGGCCTTTAAAGCTGAGCTAACTTTCGCCTTGAAATTTTGGATTACCAAGAAACCAAATCGCATCTCATCGATACGCACGAACAGTGATGATACAACCTCAAGGGCTTCAAGGTCCACCTCCCGACGTTCTTCATCTCAGTCGAAGCAATCGAAACAATCCAAACATTCGAAACATTCAAAGGTTTCCAAACGATCGAAACGCTCTAAACGTTCGAGATCACGTTCACGATCCCACAGCAAGAGTCGTTCGAAGAAATATTCAACTTCGGGATGAAATTATTATTTTTTTATAAGACCTCAATTTTTGACTAATAAAAAAAATAAATTTAATTTTTGTTAATTTTTCAAAAAAGTGGTTTTGATTTTTTTTTAATATTTTTTGGAGGCCTTGACAAAGGGGAGGATTTTTAAAAATTGGCATTTCTTAATCCAGAAACCATATTTTTATAAATATATGGGTCCTGAACCAAGGCGATGTCCACTTCAGAGTTCGTGAGGGAGTAATTCGGCGGCTTCGGCCTTGCATTGATGCAGATTAATCTGCAGGATGCCCAGACTTTGCCGCTTTCCTACCCATATTGAGTTTCGGTGGATGTGTTCAGTCGAAACCGTACCCATCCTGAACCGAAGTTAAAATTTCCCTCGCGCTCCTACTTGAGATACGCCTCCCCCGGTGGATCAACTGCTACTCTTGCGACCATCCCTCCATCCTCGTTACAAGGAGTTAGACTGACAACGGTCCAGCTCGATGTAGTGAAGCTGGCATTTTGCAGCGCCAACATTTTCAGCAGGAGTTCCTTGTCCACTGAAGGTGGGGAACCCTGGTTGGGATCTCGGATAGGGAGGCCGCAGCAACATTGGCTCCTTCCCAGAGTACGATCACGGATAGAGTGCACCAAAGCCGCAGCAAGGAAATTGGCTTGTTCATTCCACCCTTCAGAGTGCACCAAAGCCGCCTACGGTTTTCACAAGGAAATCCTTAGATTTCTTGTTCAGGCAGTTGATGACTTTGATACCCTTCTGCATGAAGGCACTGCCAAACTAACAATCCCCTTGGTCCGACCCACAGACGATGTCCGACCGAAGAGCTCCTTCAAAGAGCACCCAATGACTATCACTAATTCTGCCATGAGGATCAGATTTGTCAATGATTGCCACTTGAAGGTCTTCATCAGCGGCTACCTTGGTCGGTCTGTCATATGGCTTACGCTGTCTTTGGCTACGAACCTTGCAGTTTGCCTTTCCAGAGGAAGTTGATGTTGTTTTCTCAGTACTACGCTGTTTCTTCGCCGTTTGTTATCCAGCGACAGCCGCATATGAGGAAGAAGGGTCAGCCAGACGAGGAGTCATCGTTTTCTTGATTGAAGGTTGTGGACCTTCTGAAGAGGGGATGCGCTTCACAGATTTGCTCTGTGGGGCGGAGTTTGCTCTCCCAGTAGACGATGGTTCCTTGCCGGACTTTCCCTTCTTCCTACTTCGACAACTAGTGGATCCACCCAAAACTTTAGCTTCACCTTTGTCGCTAGGCGTAGAATTAGGCTTTGAGGCAGAGCCCTACACACGTTGATCACCCTTATGGGTGAAATTTTGCTTCGGGATGTTCTCAATAGCATGTTTCTGTGTCTTTTGACCTTTTGACTTTTGATTAGAAGTCGGCTTAGCACTTTTGTCAGAGAAAGTGGGCTTCGCCGATTCTACCACTTTGAGGCATATGATGTAGAAGGGTCACCCAAACGAGAAGTCATCGTCTTCTTGGGTGAAGGTTGTGGACCTTCTGAAGAGCGGATGCACTTCACAGATTTGCTCTGTGGAGCGGAATTTGCTCTTCCAGGAGACGATGTTTCCTTGCCGGACTTTCCCTTCATTTTATTGCGACCACTAGTGGATCTACCCAAAACTTTAGCTTCACCTTTGTCGCTAGGCGTAGAATTAGGCTTTGAGACAGAGCCCTACACAAGTTGATCACCCTTATGGGTGAGATTTTGCTTCGCGATGATCTCAATAGTCTTTTCCTGTGCCTTTTGACTAGGGTTCGGCTTCGAGCTGAGCTTCAGATCAGAAGTCGACTTAGCACCTTTGTCAGAGACAGTGGGCTTCGCCGATTCTACCATTTTGTGCGGGCAGTAAAATTCGGGAGGGAGATCCTCTCCCTCTCGACTTCACGATGGTGAGCGTGGTGGGGTGTACCTCCCTCTCCGAAATCAAATTCGCGGCTCGCCCCACGAATTTTCGGAGATACGAAACAGCACGTTTTTAGTGTTTCGAATCAGCTACTACTCCCCAACATTTGAGCCGCTGTCCGTTACTAGAGACAGTGGGCTTCGCCGATTCTACCTGTCCATCTCGAGTTCACGATAGAGAGCGTGCGGATAGATTCTTTCGAACAGCGTTACGAATCTCATCTTACCCTTGATGAGGTGTACCTCACTCTCCGAAATCAAATTCGCGTCTCGGCCCACGAATTTGCGGAGATACGTAACAGCACGTTTGTAGTCTTTCGCATCAGCTACTACTCGGTCCTTCCAATTAATTTGAGCAGATGTACGTTGCTGGGCATCGTCGGACATCGCCTCGCAGATTGCCTCGTATGTTTATTGTCAGCAAGTGCCGACACAGGACCTGTTGTAGTCAGACTTGAAGTCGGTCGGTCAGCAGGGTCTGCGCTTCATTCGCTAATACTACAACCATCCCCCTGTCATCTCGTCATCAGTTAGGGTAAGATTCAGTAGCAGTTCCTCCGGAACTTTACACGAAATTTGGCATAGCGTACTGAATTAAGTTTAAAACGATGTGTTTCGAATTTCGTGAAAATCGGTTCAGATTCCGATATAGCTCCCATATATATTTTCGTCCGATTTTAGGTAAATGGTCCACCAATGTACCTATATATCTTTCGATACGCACGAAATTTGGCACAGCGTAATGAATAAGGTCTAGAATGATGTGTGCGATGTTTCGTGAAAATCGGTTCAGATTTAGATAAAGCTACCATATATATTTTCGTCCGATTTAATGTAAATGGTGCACCAAAGTTCCTATATATCTTTCGATTTACACTTTGGCATGGCATACTGAATTGAGTCTAGAATGATGTGTTGTAAGTTTCGGGAAAATCGGTTCAGATTTCGATATAGCTCCCATATATATTTTCGTCCGATTTAAGGTAAACCCGGTAGTACAAAATGAAAAAATTCGCTGTTGCAAACATAAATTTACTGTGAAACAAATTCATTTCGGGGGGCCCAGCCCCCCTTGGACGCCCCCTTCGTAAGTCCATGGCTCCCATATATATTTTCGTCCGATTTAAGGTAAATGGAGCTCAAAAGTCCCTATATATCTTACGATGTGCACGAAATTTGGCATAGCGTACTAGAACGATGTGTGTTAAATTTTGTAAAAATCGGTTCAGATTTAGATATAGCTCCCATATATATTTTCGTCCGATTTTACGCATGTCCGTCTGTCTGTAGATGTTAAATTGTAAACAAAGTATAGGTCGCACTTATCATCCGATTTGGATAACATTTGGCACAAGTCACTTATTTGGCCCAAGGACGAACCCTATTGAAATTGGGAAAATCGGTTCAGATTTAGTTATAGCTCCCATATATATTTTCGTCCGATTTAAGGTAAATGGTGCACCAAAGTCCCTACATATCTTTCGATTTGCACGAAATTTGGCATAACGTACTGAATTGAGCCTAGAATGATGCCTGCCAAGTTTCGTGAAAATCGGTTCAGATTAAGATATAGCTCCCATATATATTTTCGTCCGATTTTAGGTAAATAGTGCTCCAAAATTCCTTATATCTTTCGATTTGCACGAAATTTAGCACAGCGTAATGAATTAGGTCTAGAATGATGTGTGTTAAATTTCCTGAAAATCGGTTCAGATTTAGGTATAGCTCCCATATATATTTTCATCCGATTTTATGTAAATGGTGCTCCAAAGTTCCTTTATATCCTTCGATTTGCACGAAATTTGGCATGACGAACTGAATTGAGTCTAGAATGATGAGTGGTATGTTTCGGGAAAATCGGTTCAGATTTCTATATAGCTCCCATATATATTTTCGTCCGATTTTATGTAAATGGGGCACCAAAGTCCCTATATATCCTTCTATTTGCCCGAAATTTGGCACAACATAGTGAATTAGGTCTAGAATAATGTGTGTTAAGTTTCGGGCAAATCGGTTCAGATTTAGATATATCTCCCATACATATTTTCGTCCGATTTAAAGTAAATGGTGCACCAAAGTCCCTATATATCCTTCGATTTGCACGAAATTTGGCATGGCGTACTGAATTGAGTCTAGAATGATGAGTGGTAAGTTTCGAGGAAATCGGTTCAGATTTCGATATAGCTCCCATATATATTTTCGTCCGATTTTAGGTAAATAGTGCTACAAAGTTCCTTTTTATCCTTCGATTTGCACGAAATTTGGCACAGAATAATGAATTAGGTCTAGAATGATGTGTGTTAAGTTTCCTGAAAATCGGTTCAGATTTCGATATAGCTCCCATATATATTTTCGTCCGATTTTATGTAAATGGTCCACCAAAGTCCCTACATATCTTTCGATTTGCAGGAAATTTGGCATGGCGTACTGAATTTAGTTTAGAATGATGTGTGTTAAGTTTCGGGAAAATCGGTTCCGATTTCGATATAGCCCCCATATATAGTTTCGTCCGATTTAAGGTAAATGGTGCACCAAAGTCCCTATATATCTTTCGATTTGCACGAAATTTGGCACAACGTAGTGAATTAGGTCTAGAATGATGTGTGTTACGTTTCCTGAAAATCGGTTCAGATTTCGATATAGCTTCTATATAGGACAATATGAAAAATTTAGTATCGGCTGCAGAATGACATGTTTATGGATCCAATTTCATTTTACTGGTCCTTTAAAAATGCGACGTCTGTTAGGATTCATCTGTTGAATATACCCAAAGTGGTGAAGGGTATCATATCATCTGTTGAATATACCCAAAGTGCTGAAGGGTATCATATAGTCGGCCCCGTCCGACTTTACTACTTTCCTTACTGGTTTAAAAATATTTTGGGGGGAGATTTAAAAAAATTATTTAAAAAATCCACGCCTTATGTAGCTGTGGAAAAAAATTATTTAAAAAATCCACGACATTTTCCATCCCCACAAGAGCGTATCGACCTAGTGAGGCAATGTGGGGGACAAACATATTTTGTCGAAATAATGGAAATGACGACAAAACGCCAGACGCTTACCAATACACAGACACGGGAGAAGACACCTTTAGAAGACTTTTTTTTTTATTTAAATAAAATTCCAAAATTTGTTTAAAGGAAAATGAAAAGAAAACAAAACAGAACAGAACAGAACCACAACAATAAAACGCCATCTAAGTTTTTTGTTGGCTGTCATGCCTGAGGGCAATCGTCCGTGGACGTCATCACTGAAGAGACAGACACCCTCAGTCTAAATACGCCATGCTATGTCGATGCTGGACAGTGATCGGTGCACGCATTAAGTGCTGCCTTGTTTAGTTAACGCACGGATACGGATGATGTTGGATCGCTACGAAATTTTAACGGGACGATAAGAAATCGACGAGACGAAAATAAAAAAAATAAATCTATAGAAAAATATTTATGTCGATATTGTTGTTGTTGTTGTCGTGCGTAAAACAATAGTTTTTTGGCTGTGGAAAAAAAGTTTTGAAAAAAATATAAAAAAAATATTTAAAAGAAATTTAAATCGAAAATTGTGAAAAAGTGAGTGGAAATTTATAAAAAGAAAAAATTATACAAAAATTTATTTTTTTTTAATTCAAAAAAATATTTTTAAAAAATGTGAAAAATATCTCCAACTTTCCCAAAAAATATTTTCAAATGAAAAGCATGCTGTTCTAATGGAAAATTCTATGGAAAACACAACCACATATGTAAAAATCAATTTTCAAAAATTTCCAAAAAAAATAATTAAAAAAAAATTCCTCATGAAATGTGAAATTTGAATTTCGAAAAAAAAAAAATTCCCGTGAAAATGAAAGTGTTACTATTTCACCTAATATTGTTCGGAATTTTTATCTGCGAAGCCAATTTTCAAAAATTAAATAAACAAATATTAAATATAGGTAAGGGGATTCGAGGGGAGGTAATCATCCATTAGTAGTCCCCTATAATAATCTGCCACCCTCAATTTCCAGGTGCCATATTTTTCAAAGGTGAATCCGAATTGGAATTGGCCTTCGATACGGCCATCCAAGATATAAATTATCTAAATCCAGAATACCAATTAGAATTTAATCCCATCAAACGGTATTTAAGTGAAGATGACAGCATTATTTTGCAGGAGATGGGTAAGTGATTTGCAAGATACTAATTGATGAAATTCAATAGCTTTTGGATATTGGGGTGTAGTGAAAATATAAGAAAACAAATTAATGGCATTTTACAAAGGCCGTGGATTTTTTAAAATTTATTTGTAAGGGTCATCGATAAAGTGTGGATATTGAAAATTATTTTTTCATGGGTCTATACAAGTCGTGTACCGTTTTCTTGCGAACACTGGTATACCATACATCTCTGTTTTACCCGCAATACCCGAATATACACACAGTTAGAATGAATTCTACGTAAGCTAGAGTAAACACTGGAATAAACTAAGTTCACATGATTTCCAAATGCCTATCCAGAAGAACACCTAAGCACATATGTTTGTCTACAAATTCAATCTGGTTCTGATTTAAAAATACATGAGGGGCTGAAATTATGATTTGCCAAACAAAATCGCTTCAGTTTTACTTGGATTAATTTCAAATGAACTTGTAACGACAAGTTTCCTCTGGTTGCTGGGATATTCTCGCGGGGATAGGGTTCTTCACAGAAAATTTATAATTAAATGACCGAGAGTGAAAATATGTAGTTTCAGCTTTCAAATTCAGAATACTTCGCTTTATTTACTCTTAATATATATACATATATATATAGATCTCCTATACTTAAGTTATTAAAGTCTCCAACGTCTGCTGGTACTGCTCCGATACGGCTGTTGGTTTTACAGGAACTCGGGTTTGCTGGTTCTGGTGATCCGGAGTGGGTTCCGGTCCTTGCTGCTGCTGCAATAAGTCTTGACGTTGTCCAAGGTTTCAACAACCTCTCTATAAAGGCCCGCGACGGCTCTTTATGTCGGTTTTCTCAACACTTTCCGTTCTATAAAGACACACGACGGCTCTTTATTTCGGTTTCACTTAATATCCAGGCCCGGATGTTTATTTTGGGTTTTTCGTTTAAAATCACTTTAGGTTATATAAAGGCCCACGGCGGCTCTTTATTTCGACTTGGTTAATCTTGGTTAATTCACAATCACTATTTCACACTCACCGATATTTTCTCTATTTCTCCGCTGGTGATTTATCCTATTCTCTGCTAGCTTGACCGCTCCTGCTCGCTTGACCGCTTGCCTCTCCCTTTTATACACTCGGTCGCAAATTTCAGGATGCTTCCAGCCGCCTTCACGACGTCGAACCTCTGCTGCCGTATGTACTCACCTCATAATTACCACAATAACCATAACTCTTAAGTACTCTGCACAGACAATGACCATCGATACCTTTAAACTTCTTCATAAAATGTCTTCTCCTATACCTCCACAATGTCTTCAGACCTGACCAAACTAACATCTTACTTTTTTACTTGGCTGGCTTGTTACAGAACGGTTGTTCCATAAGCCGAGCTTAAAAAAGATTTCCAAGCGCGTCGGTCTTGTGCGCAAATCCACCAATTTGGAAGACCACGTTCCAAGATGTTGTTTTCTACTTGGTTTTTCCATCTCATTCGTGGCCTTCCCCTTCGCTTTTGAGCTGGGGCATTCAACAACATGGCCTAGCCACCGTAGTCGCTGCAGCTCAATACGACTGACTATATCGATGTCCGCGTATAAATTGTAAAGCTCGTGGTTCATTCGACGCCGATCTTTCGGAGAAATTTTCTTTCAAACACCCCAAGAGTTGCCTCATCTGCTTGCGCAAGTACCCATGCTTCAGATCCATATAATAGCACGGGTAGTACCAGTGAATTTGTTCTGGCGGGAGGTGGCCTTGTTTCTAAGTGCTTACTTAGACCATAGTAGCATCTGTGGGCCATCACTATCCTTCTCCGAATTTCAAAACTGATATCATTCGTTTTGTTTATGGCGGTACCAAGGTATATAAAATCTTTGACTACCTCGAAGCTTAACTTCTCATGTTCCACAGTTGGTCCGAGTTTGATCTTCTCGCCGTTTACTGCCAAACCCACTTTGGCAGACTCCTTCTCAATTTGTTCAAATTTGGCTGTTACCGTTTTCAGTGTTCTCGCCTACGCCGAGTAGGCGAGTAACATGTGTTGTTTGGTGTACAGAGTGACATATCTGTTCACTTTTGCCTCTCGTGTGACCTTTTCCAGCAGGATGTTAAAAAGGTCACACGACAACCTTGTCACCTTGTCTGAATCCTCGTTCGGTATTATAGGGCTCCGAGTGGTCCTTTCCGACTTTAACTGTTGATCTTGTACCAGTTAAAGTTATCCTGCATAGCCGTATTAATTTTGCAGGAATGCCAAACGCAGACATGGCTTTATACACCTCTGAACGGATAGGGCTGTCGAATGCGGCTTGTCGATGGGTTTTTCGTTAGTTTTTTTTTTAGGATTTGGTGTAGCGTGAAAATCTGGTCAATGGTGGATTGTCAGGCCTGAATTTGCCAGGCATTGGTATGGTCCAATAATGTCATTGACCCATTGGCCTCAGTCGTTCACAATGTACGCTTGATAGCACATTATATGCGACAGGAAGGTGACTTATTCCTCTATAGTTGGTACATAACGACTTGTGTTCTTTTGTTGTGCACGGGACACAGGATGCTGAGGTTCCAATTATTGGGCATGCATTCTTCTAGCCAAATTGTACTAATCAGCTGGTGAATGCTCCTTACCAGCATCTGACCACCAGTCTTGAATAGTTCGGCTGATAACCCATCGGCACCTGCTGCTTTATTGTTCTTTAGCCGATTTATTGCTATTCTGACCTCATGTTGGCTGGGTGGTATACACTCTATACCATCATCTCTTATTGGTTCTGGGGTATCATCTTCACCGCCACTATTTGCAACCAGAAGTTTTTCAAAATGCTCCTTCCAGATCCTCAGCACACTGTCTGTATCTGTCACCGGGTTTCCTTCTTCATCTCTACAGGAGGATGTGTCAGCACCAAAACCTTCGGTTTGGTGTTTTACTCGTTGGTAGAATTTTCGGACCTAATTCTGACTCCTGTACATCTCGATTTGCTCACGTTTTTCTTGTTCTTTCTTGTTTTTTCTGAAAACACGTTTCTCCTCTCTCCTTTTCCCCCGATAATTCTCCATCACGTTACGTGTTGCTACAGTCTGCAGGGTTGCCCTATACGCTGCGTTTTTCACATCAGTAGCATTACGACACTCCTGATCGTTCCATGGGTTTCTTGGTGGTGATTTTGCTGCAGTTTGTAGGGAGTGGGCAATCTTTGCCATTGTGCTTCTATACTATTATCGGGACAAGAAGTGTTTTCTTCAAGCAGATGGGTAAGTTGAGCGGAGTAGGCCTCGGCTACCTCTTGTGTATGCATATTTTTGACGTCGAGTTTTCGTGTTGTGTTAGATCACACCTTTGCTGCTACATTAAGACGGGTGCGTACCTTGGCTGCCACAAGGTAATGGTCCGAATCGATATTAGCTCCTCGGATCGATCGGACGTCTAAAACACTGGATGAATGTCTTCCGTCGATCACAATATGATCAATTTGATTTCTCGTTGCTTGATCAGGAGAAATCCAGGTGGCCTTGTGTATATCGAGATGCTTGAATCTGATGCTGCTAATTACCATATTTTTTGCTGCCGCGAAGTCAATCAACCCCATGCCGTTGTCGGATGTTTCTTCATGGAGCCTGAATTTTCCGACGATGGGGCCAAAGATATTTTCCCTTCCGATTTTTGCATTAAAATCTCCTAGCAGAATTTTAATGTCATGGCCAGGGCAACGGTCATATGCTGTCTTTGGTCTGTTCATCTTTATCTTCGATCGGAGCATGGGTGAAAATGAGGCTGATATAGAAAAACTTCGCTTTTATACGGAATATAGCAATTCGCTCATCTACTGGAGTGAATCTGGGGACGAGGTCTTTTATTCTCCTGTTAGCCATGTATCCGCAGCCAAATTCATGTCTCGTGTCATGACAGCTATAATACAGGACGTAATCGCCTGATTTACTTACGCCTGTCCCTTTCCATCGCATTTCCTGTAAGGCAATAATATCGGCTTTGCACTTCTTGAGTACATCCGCCAAAGCGGACACTGCGTATATTCTGTACAACGTGCAGATCGTGGTCCTGTATGCGTTTGTAGGGGTCGTCAACATTAGGGGGGTTTGGTTTTCTTTTTCTTTGCATTTTCATAGTAGATTGGGGTTTCCCGAGTGTGGGCAACTAACCCGACGCCTCAACCCATTTTTTAATAGTTCTTATGGGTGCAGTCGCGGCACATATTAGTTCACTATTTCATCGGGTGGTGAAAATAGGTACCCCAGCTGGCACCACCGGAGGTCAGTGTCCACAATTGAGATGAAAGAGGGACCAACATAAGCCTGGACTTCGTCATGTTAAAGCCAATAAGAGTCCTTGCTTGGTATCTCTCAATCCCCTACGCCAGCGAAATCTACACGTGCAATATTTCTTTCACTCGGCTGTGAATCCACACTTCTATTCAGGCATAGCGTTGCCAGATTTTTTTAAGTATGTTTCTCAAAAAATTCACGCAATTTGAAGATTTTTTTTAATTTTTTTTCATTACACCCTAATACTCATTTTTAAATATCTTTCTTTGCTAAGTTTAAAATTTCATTGTTTGTTTGTTTTTTCCCTTCTCTTTTAGCCTGCGATTTGCTGAATAATGGGGTGGCCGCCATTATTGGCCCAAGTTCAGCTACTAAAAGCGGTAAGTTTTTTATTTATTTTTAGTTCGGAAAATGGTGGGTGTTTTGGACGGAAAGTAAAATAAACATCGAGACTTAATTTTATTTATTTGTCGTCACACGATTTTATTATGCCGGTGTGGTCATAATTTTGTCTGGTATCAGTCAATCAAAAAATATTGGAATTTTTTCCGCATAGAAAAAAAATCGGTAGAAAATTTTTTTCGCATAGAAAAAAATTCGGTAGAAAATTGTATTCGCATAGAAAAAAATTCGGTAGAAAATTGTATTCGCATAGAAAAAAATTCGGTAGAAAATTTTTTTCGCATAGAAAAAAATTCGGTAGAAAATTTTTTTCGCATAGAAAAAAATTCGGTAGAAAATTTTTTTCGCATAGAAAAAAATTCGGTAGAAAATTTTTTTCGCATAGAAAAAAATTCGGTAGAAAATTTTTTTCGCATAGAAAAAAATTCGGTAGAAAATTTTTTTCGCATAGAAAAAAATTCGGTAGAAAATTTTTTTCGCATAGAAAAAAATTCGGTAGAAAATTTTTTTCGCATCGAAAAAAATTCGGTAGAAAATTTTTTTCGCCTAGAAAAAAATTCGGTAGAAAATTTTTTTTCGCATAGAAAAAAATTCGGTAGAAAATTTTTTTCGCATAGAAAAAAATTCGGTAGAAAATTTTTTTCGCATAGAAAAAAATTCGGTAGAAATTTGTTTTTCGCCTAGAAAAAAATTCGGTAGACAATTTTTTCGCATAGAAAAAAATCGGTAGACAATTTTTTCGCACAGAAAAAAATTCGGTAGAAAATTTTTTTCGCATCGAAAAAATTCCGGTAGAAAATTTTTTTCGCATCAAAAAAAATTCGGTAGAAAATTTTTTTCGTATCGAAAAAAATTCGGTAGAAAATTTTTTTCGCCTAGAAAAAAATTCGGTAGAAAATTTTTTTCGCCTAGAAAAAAATTCGGTAGAAAATTTTTTTCGCCTAGAAAAAAATTCGGTAGAAAAATTTTTTTCGCCTAGAAAAAAATTCGGTAGAAATTTCTATCGATATGGCAATTCCCTCCCCATAAGTGTGACCAGCTATAAACAAATGATCACATGTACACGCATTTGTATGTGTGGGCGTAAAATGAAAACATCAACAAAATGTCATTTTATTTATTTCCCCCATTTCACTTTGTTTCCACTTTTCTAAACACAAACAAATTTTCCGACTTGTTTTCCCCCTCAATTGTATTTCCTTTTCGTACAATGATCCCACCGTGGAAACCACAAACGAAGAAACATTGACGAAAGACAAGCAATAATATTTGACCCAAATTCGGAACATCAAAGGCGAAGGAAAGCACACGAATTAAAATAAACGAGAGAGAGTAATTCCGAATAATGAATGAAATTCTCTCCCTTCAGAAAATTCCTCTCTCTCTCTCCAAAATTTTATTTTCCTCTCTCTCTCTCCCTTTCAGACATTGTCAACGTTTTGTGCAATCTGACGGGGATACCCCATCTGCAATTCGATTGGAATGGCGAAGAGACGGACATGGTTCAGAGTAAATATTTCTATACGATTAATGTGGCGCCATCGGTTAATGTTTTGTCGCAGGCCTACTTAGACATTGTGAAAAATAATCCACTGAATTGGAAAACATTCACCATTGCCTATGAGACCTCATCGGGTGAGTGAGTCATGAGAGAGCGGGAGAGAGGAAAATCTCTTAACAAGTTTTTTCTCTTTCAGATCTATCCCGCATGCAACACCTGTTGGCCTGGAAACAATTTCACAAGTCCGGCATCAAGTTGATACCCTTCAATCGTAACGATGATCTTCGAATTCTCTGGAAACTTATAAAAAATTCTCGAGAGAGAAATGTTCTGATCGATTGTCCGGCGGATATGGCGGTGGGGGTAATGCAGGAGGCCATAAATTTTAATATGACTACGTCATTTAATGTGAGTAAGGAAAAATATAGAAAAAAAAAACTTTTTCGAAATTCGAAAAATAATTTCGAAATTTTTCGAACTTCGAAAAAAGTGGGAAATATTTTTTTCTTACACATAAAATAATTTTTTTTTCAAAATTCGAAAAAAAAAATAATTTCGAACATTCGAAATTCGAAAATAGTTTTTCTTACATTGAAATTAAAGAACTTTTAATATGACTACAAAATTTTAATATGACTATGTCATTTAATGTGAGTAAGGAAAAATATACAAAAAAAAATTAAAAAAAAACTTTATCGAAATTCGAAAAATAATTACGAAATTGGAAAAAATTTCGGAAATATTTTTTTTCGAAGTTCTATAACATTTTTTCTCACACAGAAATAAAATTTTTTTCAAATTTCAAAAAAAATTATTTCGAAAATTCGAATTTTTTTCTTCGAAATTCGAAAATATTTTTTCTTACATTGAAATTAAAGAACTTTAGAAATTTGAAAAATTTTCGAACTTCGAAAATATTTTTTTATATAAGAAAATTAAAAATAATTTTTGGATTTCGAAAACATTTTATTTTCACAATTAAAAAAATTTGACTTAATTTTTTAAAAATATTTCTTGGAGGCGTGGATTTAAAAAAAAAAAATTTTTTTGTGGCGTGGATTTTTTTAAAAATATTTTTTTGAGACTTAATTTTTTAAAAATATTTTTTGGAGACTTAATTTTTTAAAAATATTTTTTGGAGACTTTTTTTTTTGGCGATTTTAATTTTTTTTAAATATTTTTGGGGACTTAATTTTTTAAAAATATTTTTGGGAGACTTTAATTTTTAAAAAATATTTTTTGGAGACTTAATTTTTTTTGGAGACTTAATTTTGAATTTGATTTTCGAAATTCGAAAATATTTTTTCTTACATTGAAATTAAAGATCTTTAGAAATTTGAAAAATTTTCGAACTTCGAAAATTTTTTTATATTCGAAAATTAAAAATAATTTTTGGATTTCGAAAACATTTTTTTTATAATTAAAAAAATTTGACTTAATTTTTTAAAAATATTTCTTGGAGACTTAATTTTTTAAAAATATTTTTTCAAGGTGTGGACTTTTATTTTTAAATAAAAAATATTTTTTTGGAGACTTGAATTTTTTAAAAATATTTTTTGAGACTTAATTTTTTAAAAATATTTTTTGGAGACTTGATTTTTTAAAATTTTTTTTGGAGACTTTATTTTTTTTGAAATATTTTTGGAGACTTAATTTTCTTTTAAATATTTTTTAAGAATTATTTTTTTAAAAATTAATTTTTTAAAAATATTTTTGGGAGACTTTAATTTATTAAAAATATTTTGTGGAGACTTAATTTTTAAATTTTTTTCCTCAATTTTTTATTCTTACCCAGAGCTTCTTCTTTACAAATTTGGATACCCATACAAGTGGCTTGCAATCGCTAATATCGGACAAATTTCTATCGAATGTTACCAGTGTTCGGCTGCGAAGCTATATACCTCCGCCCCAGCATAGTGAAACAGATGTTTTTGATCCGGGAGAAAAGGACTCAATTCGCAGTCTGAAGCAGCAGAATATCTACGATGTCCTGGTGCTATATTATAATGCCCTACAGCAGACCTTTCAACCGGATCCGATACCTCCACCCGAAGGCTCGTGTATGGGTGGTTTTTGGGAATCCGGAAATGATGTCATCGATCGCATGAAAAAGGTAGGAAGAAATTTCACTTTCTTGAGAATCATTTCCAACCTCCAACTCGCTCTCTTCCCATTTTCCAGATGAATTCGAAACACATTGAACCCCATTATAAGACCCAAAAAATGCTCCTAAATCCGCATGGCATACGTGATGACTTCAATTTGGATATCTACGATGCAATGATCGATGAGACCTTGAGTGTCTGGAATAAAAATCATGGCCTTGTGCCCTATGACCATTTAATAGCTAATATGACCAGGAAACCGGTGAAGCCCCGCAAAAAGGGTGATGATGCAGAGAAGCAAAAGAAAAAGGTGAAATATACCGTGGCCACGAGGATTGGAGAACCCTATTTTATGATTCGTGAAGAGCCCGAGGGGGTCCATTTCGAGGGCAATGATCGTTTCAAGGGTTATGTTGTCGATTTAATTTTCGAACTTTCCAAGGATCTACATTTCGATTTTGTCTTCGAACCAGTGCCGGATAATAAATACGGGTCCTATGACCCGGTCACCAATGAATGGGATGGTATTGTTAGGCAGTTAATGGATAATGTAAGGGTGTTATGAAATAAATTTCAATATTTTTTCAAAATGAATTCCAATATTTTTTCAAACTTTAATTTTTCCCCAGCAAGCTCAAATGGGCATTTGTGATTTGACCATAACGCAGGAGCGTCGAACTGTCGTGGACTTCACGGTGCCCTTTATGCAGCTGGGTGTACAAATTCTGTATTCGAAACCCCCACCTCCGAAGAAAGAATTATTTCAATTTCTCGAACCCTTCTCGGTGGAGGTATGGCTTTGCCTGCTGATAGCCCTGCTGCTGATGTCGCTGATTTATGTTTTGCTGGCCAGGTAGGAGAACGGACATCTCAATTGAGGGAAACTTTTTGAAATTGTTATTTCCGATTTTTAGATTTACCCCCGAAGAGTGGCAACCACAGGATGATCCGAATTCCGTGCAGCTGGTCTGGTCACTACGAAATTCCCTGCATTTACATATCAATTCGGTGCTGCAAGTGGGATGTGATATTTTGCCAACGTAAGCAAAATTTTGAAATTGGAATAAAATTAATTTCGAATTTTTTCGAAGCTCAAAAAAATTATCTTCGAATTTTTTCGAAGTTCAAAAAAAATTAATTTTGAAAATTTTCAAAGTTCGAAAAAAATTATTTTCGAAGTTCGAAATTACGAATATTTTCGAAGTTCGAAATTTCGATTTTTTTTTTTTTTTTGAAGTTCGAAAAAGATTTTCCCCAAATTCATTCGAAGTTCGAAAAAAATTTTTTCGGAAACAGTTTTTTTTCGTATAGAAAAAAAAATTCAAAAACAATTTTTTCCGTATAAAAAAAAACTATTATTTTCTATAGAAAAATTCGAAAACAATTTTTTCCGTATGGAAAAAAATCGAAATTAATTTTTTCCGTATAGAAAAAAAATTTGAAAACTATTTTTTTCTGTATAGAAAAAAATTCGAAAACTATTTTTTTTGCGTATAGAAAAAAAATCGAAATTTTTTCCGTATAGAAAAAAAATCGAAAACAATTTTTTCCGTATAGAAAAAAATTCGAAAACCTTTTTTTCCGTATAGAAAACAATTCGAAAACAATTTTTTCGTATAGAAAAAATTTGAAAACAATTTTGTTCGTATAGAAAAAATTCAAAAATATTTTTTTCCGTATAGAAAAAAAATTGAAAACTATTTTTTTCCGTATAGAAAAAAATTCGAAAACTAATTTTTTGCGTATAGAAAAAAAATCGAAAACAATTTTTTTTACGTATACAAAAAAATTCGAACACAATTTTTTTCCGTATAGAAAAAAATTCGAAAACAATTTTTTTCTATACGAAAAAAAAATTCGAAAAATGTTTTTTCCGTATAGAAAATAATTCGAAAATAATTTTTTCGAAATTGGAAAATGTTCGAAATTCGAATTCATTTCCAAAAAATTTTTTGTTTACAAATAAATAAAAAATGTTTTTCAGTGCCAATCACATGCGTCTCTTTACGACCTTTTGGTGGATCTTCGCCCTGCTAATGGCCCAGACATATTTGGCCAAGATGACCTCTTTTATAACCGCTTCCAAAATGGATGGTACCATCCAGAACCTACACGATCTGGTGCAGCAAAATAAAATACAATTTGGCACCATCAAAGGTGGATCGACTTCGCAATTCTTTTCAGAATCGAATGAATCGGAATATCGTTTGGCTTGGAATAAAATGAGAACCTTTAAACCAGAGGCACTGACCAAAGACAATAAAGAGGGCGTGGATCGGGTGCGACATAGCAAAGGACGTTATGCTTTCCTATTGGAGACCCCCAATCTGCAGTACTATGCCAAGCGGCATTGTGACCTTATGCCGATTGGAGATCCATTCGGGGAGAAATTGTACGGGATTGCGGTGCCATTGAGTAAGTAAGGGGGTACCCCTGGATATGGGATCCATATAAGGTTTTTTGTTTTCTTTCAGATGCCCCCTATCGGTCCGAACTGAATGTGGGCATATTGAAGCTCAGCGAACAGGGTTTCCTCTACAAATTGAAACGTGAATGGATTTTCAATAATAATACCGTGCTGTGTGAGGATGAACACAGCGGCAGCCAGGATGGTTCCCAAATGGATATGGAAACGCTGAGAGGCGTATTTCTTGTCCTGCAGTTGGGTATTGGTGTGGCCCTGGTTATTGGGGTGGTGGAATTTATTTGGTATACCTATAAAATGGCTGCCAGGGATAGGGTAAGTTCGAGGCCTTTCCTTATAGGAAGATTTTCACTTAAATGCATATTTTCAGATCCATCCCAAAGAGGCCCTGAAAAAGGATTTCCAATTCTTTTTGCGATTTTGGATTGAAAGGAAACCCCTGACAATGTATAAACGCCATGGTTCAAGTATCCAGTCTAAGGGTTCTCTGCTGCCGGCTTCAACGACCACAGCCACAACAGGAAGTACGTCAACGGAAAAACAAAAGAAAAAAGTCAAACGCAGAAAGAGAGGGGAGCAGTCGGAAAGGGAATAGGGATTCCGCTACTTTCCTTTTTTTTTACTATAAGATTTGTACATACATATATAGACAATTAATGTGATTTAAATATAGTTTTTGAATAAATGGAATTTTTAGAAAAGATATCGAATATCAAAAATATTTTTTTTAATCCACGCTTTGTATAGACCCTTTGAAAAAATTATTTAAAAAATTCACGTCTTGTCGATGACCTTTGAAAAAATTATTTAAAAAATTCACGTCTTGTCGATGACCTTTGAAAAAATTATTTAAAAAATTCACGTCTTGTCGATGACCTTTGAAAAAATTATTTAAAAAATCCACGTCTTGTCGATGACCTTTGAAAAAATTATTTAAAAAATTCACGCCTTGTCGATGACCCTTAAAAAATTGACCCTTGAAAAATTTATTTAAAAAATCCACGCCTTGTCCCAGTTTCAGCCATAGTTTTTAATTTTAGAAGGTTGGTGTCAATGGAAAATATATTCTAAATCGAATTTCATTAGGAGTCCTTGACTAAGTTTAAGCGGAATATTGACTCGATATATGAAAAATAAATATATTTCAATTTCGAACATATTAATGAACATTTATTAAATTTTAAGGTTATGTGTGTTTGAGCTAATTTCACCCATAATTTTTAAATCTAGAAGATTGTGGCCAATGGGAAAGATGTTCTTCATCAAATTTCATTAGGAGTCCCTGACTAAGTGTAAGCGGAATATTGACTATATATATGAAAACTATATTAATTTAAATTCGGTAAATATAACAGAAATTTGTATTATCTTGAATTTTGAGGTTATTTCAGTTTGACTCAATTTGACCCTTAATTTTTAAAACTAGGTGGTAGGTTGCAATGGGAAAATTTTTCTAAATCGAATTTCATTAGGGGTCCCTGACCAAGTGTAAGCGGAATATTGACTCTTTCTATGAAAAATATATCAATTTAAATTTCGAACATATGAAAGTAAATTTATAAGTTAATGAATTTTAAGGCTATGTGGGTTTGTGCAAATTTAACCCATAAATTTTAATTTTAGAAGGTTGTTGTCAATGAAAAATATGTTCTTCATCAAATTTCATTGGGGATCACTGAACAAAAGAAATCGAAATATTAACTCTATATAGAAAAAATATATAAATTTTAATTGGATATATATGCATTTTCTTGGAATGTGTTATTGACTAATATATATGAAAACTATATCAATTTAAATTCGGTAAATATAACAGAATTTATTTGCTTGAATTTTGAGGTTATTTAAGTTTGTCTCAATTTGACCCCTAATTTTTAATAATAGGTGGTTGGTGTCAATGTAAAAATTTTTCGGAATCAAATTCCATTTGGGGTCACTGACCATAAGTAAACGAAATATTGACTCTTTATATGAAAAATATTTCGATTTAAATTTCGAACATAGGAAAGAATATTTAAAAGTTCATGAATTTTAAGGTTATATGAGTGGTAGCAATTTGACCCATAATTTTTAACTTTAGAAGGTTGCGGTCAATGGAAAATATTTTCTTCATCAAATTTCATTAGGGGTCTCGAACATCGGAAAGTGCAATATTTACTCTATATATGAAAAATATATCAACTTTAATTGGATATACATGAAAGGAAATTTACATTTTCTTGAATTTTGAGGTTAAACAGGTTTGTGCCAATTTGATCCATAATTTAAAATTTTAGAAAGTTGGTGTCAATGGAAAACTTGTTCTACATAAAATTTCATCGGCGGTCACTGTACAAAAGAAATTGAAATATTGACTCTATATATGAAAAATATATTAATTTAAATTGGGTAGATATAAAAGTGGATGTTTATTTTCTTGAATTTTAAGGTTAAGTGTGTTTGTACCAATTTGACCCTTAAATTTTAATTTTAGAAGGTTGGTGTCAATGGAAAATATGTTCTTCATTAAATTTCATTAGGGGTCACTGAACAACATAAATTGAAATATTAACTTCGCACATGAAAAATATATCAATTTAAATTGGGTAAATATAACAGAATTTATTATTTTCTTGAATTTTGAGGTTATTTAAGTTTGTCGCAATTTGACCCCTAATTTTTAGTATTAGGTGATTGGTGTCAATGGAAAACTTATTCTACATAAAATTTCATTAGGGGTCCCTGACCAAGTGTAAGCGGAAAATTTACTCCATACAATAAAAATATATTCATTTAAATTTCATTAATAAAAAATTGTATTTATGTATTCTTGAATTTTGAGGTTATTCCGGTTGGTCCCTATTTGAACCATAATTTTTTATATTAGGTGGTTGGTGTTAATGGAAATCTTTTTCTATATCAAATTTCATTAGGGGTCCCTGACCAAGTGTAAGGGAAAAATTTAATCTATATATGACAAATATAGCAAATTAAATTTCAAACATAGGTATTTTCTTGAATATTGAGGTTATTTGGGTTGGTGGCAATTTGACCCATAATTTTCAATGTTGGAAGGTTGGTGTCAATAGAAAAGAAGTTCTTTAGTAAATTTCATTAGGGGTTTCCCCACAAAATAAATTAGAAAATTGAGTCTATATACGAAAAATATAATAATTTAAATTTCGAAAAAAAATATAATTAAAACAAATTTTTTGTTTTTTTTTTCTTTCTCTTTTGTTTGTCCTTCATGAGATACATATATCAATTTATTGCATTTGTTTCTTTTTTTTCAAGTTTGGTTCACACAGTTTTACTTAAAATTTATAAACTAATTTTGGAATATACATGCATACATGTGTAGCGTCTATTGTGATGTTTTTTCTTTAATTATTTAATTTCTAGTTTTATTAAGGTACATTGACATTGATTCCAATGGAAAGAAAGAATATCTATGGCTAAGAATTATTTTTATCAAAAAAAAAATTTTAATTAAAATGGAATGATTTCAAAAGTTTTATTTTGAATGGGGATTGTCACAAATTTTGGGATGATTTTTAGTTTTTACGAAATAAAGAAATTTTTATTTTATTTAGCAAAGAAGGAACAAAAGTAATACCTTTATAGGCTAAAGGCCTTCTTATTATCTTTCTATAGAGGAGAGTTTTTTGTTTTAGTACACAAAATAGTTATTCTTCTAAAATATTTTTCTTTAATATTATTATTGTGTTTTTTTCTAATTTAATTTATTTTTTTTATTTTACACTTAAACATTAGTTTTTTTATTTATTTTAATGTGAAAAAAATTATTAGTGATGAGAGAGTATTTTCTTGTTGACTTTTAATTTCTAAATTGCAACTAATTTGAACTTTATTTGTCATAAATGTTTTAGAATATAGAAGGGGGGAGTAGTAATAGTTATAATAATAATATATTTAACTAAAAATATAAATATATATTTTTGTATTAAATAAATGCTAAATATAAATTTTAAACTAACAATATATATAAATATAGTATCGACAATGTTTATGTTTAAGTATTTTTTTAATGTAGAGTTTTTTACATTTTTTAAATTTTTTTTGGGAGGGAGATACTTTCATTTTTAATAGTTTTTTTTTGTTTCATTTTCTTTTTTTATTTTTAACAAAAATAATTAATAATAATAAATAAAACAATAGCCATGATTCAAATCATTATCATCAATTCATAAAAGAAATAGAGGTCGGTATTTTTTTTGTAAAGCAGCAGCTGCAGCAATCATTTTAAACGTTGCATTTTATTAGCTGTACTTGTTGTTGTATGGTTAGTTGTTGTCATTCCGGATTTCTGTCAATCTTTGGCCGCTATGGCCACTGGGGGGAATTGTCGTTCATCGTACAATTTAGTGGGCGTGTCAATGGCATCACAAAGTTTTCGAAATTTCGCCGAATCTGCTGAAACATGATAGAAAATAAAATTTAGTTATTTTTTTTTTTAATGCCAAAAATATACCAAAAATTAAAATAGGTTTGTGCCAATTGGACGCACAAATCTTCAGTTTAGCAGGAAGTTACCAAAGGAGAAGAAATTATATACAAAATTTTTTTAGGGGTCACCTAACAAAAAAAATCAAAAAGCTACTCTATATCAAAAAATATGTAAAATTAAATTTTGTATATAAACCTAAATAATTTATCTTATTAAAGGTTTCAAATTCATATCAAAATTGACTCAATACTTCAGTTTAGCAGGATGGTGTCAAGAGGTAACTTTTTCTCCATCAAATTTTACTATAAGTCACTGAACAATCGGAACCCAGATTTATGATATATAAAGAGATAATAGCCCCAAACAAATTGTATTTATAAAAAATATTTTGAGGTTATGTGGTTAGGATCAATCTGACCCTTTATTTTTCATCTCAGAAATTTGGTGTCAATGGAAAAACTATTCTAAATCGAATTTCATTAGGAGTCCCTGAACAAAAGAAAGTGAAATATTTGCTCCATATATAAAAAATACTCCAATTTAAATATGAAAAATAAAAAAGGAAATTCACATATTCTTGAATTTCAAGGTTATGTAGGATTTATTAAATTTGAAGCTAAATTTCTAATGTTAGAAGCTTGGTGTCAATGGGAAAGATGTTCTTCATCAAATTTCATAAGGGGTCCCTGACCAAGTGTAAGCGGAATATTGACTCTATATATGGAAAATATATCAATTTTAATTGGATATATGTGAAAGGAAATTTAAATTTTCTAAAATTTTGAGGTTAAGATTATTTGTGCCAATTTGACCCATAATTTTTAATTTTAGAAGGTTGGTGTCAATTGAAAATATATTCTAAATCGAATTTCATAAAGGGTCTCCGAACAAAAGAAAGTGCAATATTTGCTCCATATATGAAAAATACTCCAATTTAAATATGAAAAATAAAAAAGGAAATTCACATATTCTTGAATTTCAAGGTTATGTAGGTTTTATTAAATTTGAAGCTAAATTTCTAATGTTAGAAGCTTGGTGTCAATGGGAAAGATGTTCTTCATCAAATTTCATAAAGGGTCCCTGACCAAGTGCTAGCGGAATATTGACTCTATATATGGAAAATATATCAATTTTAATTGGATATATCTAAAAGGAAATTTACATTTTGTTGAATTTTGAGGTTAAGCTTATTTGTGCCAATTTGACCCATAATTTTTAATTTTAGAAGGTTGGTGTCAATTGAAAATATATTCTAAATCGAATTTCATTAGGGGTCCCCGACTAAGTGTAAGCGGAATATTGACTCTATATATGAAAAATAAATATATTTAAATTTCTAAACACATTAAAGACAATTTATAATTTCTTGAATTTTAAGATTAAGATGTTTTTATTTGGGGTCACTGACCAAGTGTAAGCGGAATATTGACTCTATATATGAAAAATAAATATATTTAAATTTCGAACATATTAAAGAAATTGTATAATTTATTTTGAGGTTATGTGGGTTTTTGCTTATTTGACCCATAATTTTAAATTCTAGAAGGTTGGTGTCAATAGAAAATTGATTGTAAATCGAAATTCATATGGGGTCTCTGAACAAACGAAATTGAAATATTTACTCTATATGTATATGAAAAATAAATTAATTTTAAATGTCTTCTTTTAAAATTAAATTTATATTTTCCTGAATTTTTAGGTTATTTCGATTGGTCCCTGTTTGACCCATAATTTTTAATTCTAGAAGTTTGGTGTCAATTGAAAATTTATTCTAAATCGAATTTCATAAGGGGTCTCTGAATAGATGAAAACGAAAAATTGACTCTATATATGAAAAATATTCAAATTTAAATTTGTTAAAATTTACAAGGGAATTTATTTTTTAATTTAATTATTATCAATTATATACGATTATAGGTAGACAAAAGTAAGTATAAGGAGCTAACGGATGGGTGTGGGGTCAGTCAATACACTTCTCCAGTTTATAACATACTAAAAATATTTTCAATTTTTTTGTGTTTTTTTTACAAAGATCAAATCATAATATGAATCATGGGGGTTTTACATTCTATTATTTATAATTACAAGAACAAAAACAAAAAAGTAATCCTTTAGGCCATAATACCTGTAAGAGTATTCAGCCCGGGTTCGGTACCCTTTAATATGCTGGCATATGAATTATCTGTTGAAGGATCCGGATTTTCAATGATAACACTAACACTGCTCATAGAACTTGATTTGCTATGCGGCGATGAGGAGGCCGAATCCTTGGAATGTGGTGATGTATCGATGGCAGGTGATACCGATGCATCCGATGCTGAGAATCCTGCCGAAGGATTGCTAGTTGGTGTTGAGGGTAAATTTCCCGAAAAGGAAATTTTATCCATGCTATCGGAGAGATTGAGTTCTGTAGGAGGAGGGAGAGAGAAAAAAAGAAAAAAATTATCAATCAAATTCCGATGTATGGACAATTGATTCCCACTTACCAATCACACCCTCCAAAGTGTAGCGTAAATCATGAACCTGCAATAGCTTACAAGGACCACCCTTTTCGCTATTGAATTCGTGAATATATAGGAAACCATCTTCACAGGCCAATAGGAGCCGTAACTCCTTTTGTATGCGTGCCAAACCACAGACATGTTTGAGTCCCGGTTGACCCAATACCGCTGTGGCAAAAGCCCGATCTTGACTTAACACATCGCCAATTTGTGAGGGTATTAAATATGAAGACATAGCCTTGGATAGATAACCGCTCATGGACCAGGAGTTGCTGGAGGTTTGGTTTGTGGCGGAATTCGGTACAGGGGCAGGTGTTTGTTGCTGCTGATGATTGGTGGATGGAGTGGTTGCCGAGGAATTTTCATTATTTGTACTTGATGCCGAGGTTGAAGAGGTAGAGTTTGTAGTGCCAGATGTGGATGTAGTAGTTGCAACTGGGGCCGGGGATTTTTTGGAGTCATCTAAAAGAAAAAGTAGAATTGATTAAAAAAAATATTTCAAAATTTGAATCTCCATCTCCATTCCAACTTACCTATCGAAGCCTTCCTTTCTGCCGCCTCCACGGCCTTTGTGTCAATCTTAAAAATGTGCACGGTCTCCGTATTCGATGAGGCACACAAAAAATCCCCTGTGGTCGAAAAGACCAACGAGGCAATGCGAACACATCGTTTCACACCTCTCCTAAATTCCTGGACCTTTTGACCATTCTTAACACAAAATACCCTTATCACAGTTCCTCGTTCCGAGGCAGTGGCCAACAGAGTCCCACTTGGCGAAAATGCCATAGCCGAAAGGGCCGTATCATGAGCCTTAATTGTCAGTCCCGTTTTCAGTTTATTGGCATTGAAAATTCTCAACTCTCCACTGGTCGTACAAATCGGAAATGCCAAATGGGAATTTAACGACAGCGAACATAGACCCAATTCATTCGGAGCAATATTTTCAATGGAATGTAAAATTTTCATATCACGAATATCATGAATGTGGATACTTTCGGCCAGGCACACGACGAGGCGATAACGATTCATACGAACGCATAGAATATCCGATGGATAGACACAATTACAAATATCCTGTTTCTTTTTGAAATGTAACATTTTCAAACAATTCGGTTTTTGTTGAGTGACCAGCACTACCAGCGAACTATTGAAGAGCCTCTCCACAATTCGTATTTGTTCGGAATTTTCTTTGGCGAAAATCTCGTCGATTTTATCGCTTGCATTGATCGAATACAGGCGAAAACCATCATTGCTCAGGACCGAAATGGAACTGCAAAAGAGAGAGGGAGGGAGAAAGGAATAAATTAATAGGGATTTTTTTTTTAATTGAAAAAAATACAAATTTTTTTTAATTGAAAAAAATACAAATTTTTTTTAATTGAAAAAAATACAAATTTTTTTGAAAAAAAAAATACGATTTTTTTTGAAAAAAAAATAAAAATTTTTTTGAAAAAAAATACGAATTTTTTTGAAAAAAAAATAAAAATTTTTTTGAAAAAAAAAATAAAAATTTTTTTGAAAAAAAAAATAAAATTTTTTTTTAAAAAAAATAAATTTTTTTAAAAAAAAAATAAATTTTTGTTGAAAAAAAAAATAAAATTTTTTAGTCCTCATCTAATGGTAGCTCATTTTTTGATATTTTTTTGGGGACACTTTTTATCCAAATCCGTTGAAATTTGGTTTTAAAAAAAAATAAATTTTTTTTGAAAAAAAAAAAAATAAAATTTTTTTTGAAAAAAAAAATAAAATTTTTTAGTCCTCATCTAATGGTAGCTCATTTTTTGATATTTTGGGGACACTTTTTATCCAAATCCGTTGAAATTTGGTATATTGGGTTATCATTGGTTTACACATTTTCCCACCAAAAATTATCCATATTGGCCTATGTTTAAGGGTAGCTCACATATAAGGGTATGGCAGAAATTTCGATATTTTGAGGAGATTGAGCACGTTTTAAAAGGTTATTGGCCTTAATATTGATATTTTGGGTTCTCATTGGCTGACAAATCTACCCACGAAAAAGTATGAATATTGGAACATTTTTCGGTGTAGTCCAGTCTCATATTATGGTACCCTCATTATTCGGGCACACTTTTTCGATATTTTAGGAATTTGGGTAATATATCATTCAAAATTGATTGTTATTTTCGATATTCTACTTTCCCATCAGACCAATTTATACACAAAGGCTACGCTCGTCTTTTTTGGTTCAAGTTCCCCAGGCCTACTTTCCAACCTAAGTGACCCCCTAAAATATACAGTGAATATTTTGTTTTGTAGAAGGGTTGGGTTCTTCCTACCATGAAAACAATTCATCCCCTAAACGAACTCCTTGGTAATTTCCTGTCTCCTCAAATTTATTCAATTATAGCCCTCTCGGGCTTGCAAAAATTGCCGTAGTGGACGGTATTTCACGTCCCCATGGCGGGGTATTGGTTAAAGTTTTCAACTAGCAATAATCGCACCTCGGTAGAACCTCATTGGTTACGATATCGCCTCTGCGCAAAGCTAACTTCACCATGCACAAAGTGAACATGTTAAGGCAGGCGAAATGCAGACTGAATGAGAATTATACGTGAAGACAAACAGATTCCAAACAGCACAAAATACACTGAACTACACGAAATGTATACAAAGGCATGTATGTACATGACCACAACGAAGCATAACGCACACACACATCAACATTAACATAGCAAAGAAGAAACAACAAAATAACGGCAAACGAGGGTTGTTGATTGTGCAGCCAACCAACCAAGCGACCAAAACAAAGCTGAGCAAGACCCAAACAACAACAACCAGTCAACCAAGCAAACAATCAAATGTGAGCTCATCAAACACACTCACACACACACACACACACAGAGAGAAGTGTGCAGAACAATAACAACAACGACAATAAACAGATGATAGCTAGCAAACAACAACAAACAGATGAAGGTATGTAGGTATCTTCATATTGCCATGGAAAGTAATCGAAGAAAAAAGAAACAGCTGTTGTGCCATGAAAAAACAAATCACGAATGAAGGAATGGAGAAAAACAACAACAAAAATAATGACTATAACAATCAGCTGATATATCAACTGAGTAGAACAGCAGGCTCGGGCAGAGAATAATAAATTCGCGTTGCATTGTCGATGTGTGTGCGTGTGTGTGTCAATGGGTTTTCAGTTGTTTCAATTGAATGTGCATGAGAGTATGCTGTTATTTACTTTCGCAAGAGAGAGCACGCGTGCGGGGTTTTGCCTGATGTGGGAGTAGAAGAGAATTGTAGCATATGGTGTATTCATCACCGATATGACTTTCAGTTAAATCAAGGGAAAGAGGGAATCAACAACAACAACAGGGATGTTCCATATATGGCACAGACATGGGGCAACGTCAGAGATGGGATATTTATTACATTATTACATTATGTTGGAAATTTATGTACCATGTGAGGACGACCTTTCTTGAGCTATTTTTTTTAAAGAAACAAATTCAGGAGATTTCAGAGAAGGTAAAAAATTTACAAAACTTTTTGAGGGCTATTTTTCGTATAGACTTTGGCGCCATTCTTTTCAAGATGTAAAAAATTCACAGAGTCTTACATAAATTTTTGCAATAGAAAACAAAATCGGAAAGCCCTTCGACGCCATTTTTCAAAAAAAAAAAAAAAAAAAAATGGAAAGCCCTTTGGGACTATTTTTAATAAAACAAAATTTGGAGAGTCCCTCTGGGTCATTTTTTGCTACAGATAAAAGTTCGGAGAGCCCCTTTAGGGTTATTCTTTTCGAAAAAATCGCAGATCTCCGTAGGAACACTTTTTCTATGATAAAAAATTTGGGCCTCTTTTTACAGGTTATTTCTTTCTATAGAAAAAATCGGGAGAGCCCTTAGGTGCCATTTTTTTCTATAGCTAAAAAAAATCCGGGCTCCTTTCGGCTATTTTTTCTATGAAAAAAATTGGAGACCCCTTTTTCTTTGAAAACATTAGGAGATACCCTTTCAGGTTATTTTTTCTATGAAAAAAAATAGGACAGCCCTTTTCAGACTATTTTTTTATAAAAAATCGGAACGCTCATAAAGCTTTTTTTCTATTAAAAATAAAAAAATAGAAAAAATTTGGAACTTCTTTCAATCTATTATTTTATAAAAAAAAATAGAAGAAACCCTTTCGGATTATTTTTTTATAAAAATAAAATCGGGAGGTCCTTCAATACATATTTTTTTGCCTTCTTCTTCTGTGGAAAAAATTCAGTGAGCACTTTCTATAGAGAAAGAATTCGGAGAGCCCTTTTTGGTCCTTTAGGACCATTTTTTCTGTAGAAAAAAAATGGAGAACCCTTTGGGACCATTTTTTTCTATAAAAGAAAAAAATCTTAAAAAACGGAAAGGCCCTTTGGGGCCAATTTTTTTAATAAAAAAATCGGAAAGCCATCGATTACAGGCTATTCGTTTGAAAAAAGAAACCAAAATCCTTAAAAATATCGAAAATCGATTATTGCGTCGTTTGAGGTCTACATGGAAATATAGACCGACTCTGCTAATTTTTGGTCGGTAAGATTTCCATCTGATGGGAAAGCAAAATATAATATTAAAAAAAAAGTTGGTTGAATATAGAAGGCAAATTCCGTAGGATATAGAAATTCGGAATGTATCCTTATATGGGTGTCGTCTATGCCTAAACGTGGATCGATATTGATACTTTTTATTGAGGAGATTTTCTACCCAAAGAGAATGCAAAACATAAAATTTCAGCCATTTTGGTTGAAAAACATGTCGGAATTTTTCAAAATACCGAAAATAGGAGGTTCCGTTATATGGAGTTTAAACCAAAAAGTGAACTGATAATCATAATTTTTTGTAGGACAATTTGTTACTCAATGAGAACACAATATACCAAATTACAGCCACATTGATTTTAAAATGTACCCAAAATACCGAATAATGAGGGTGTCGTAATATGAGGACTACTTCAAAAAAATTATCCAATATTCATAATTTTTGGTGGCAAGATTTGTCAACCAATGAGACTCCGAAATACCAAATTACGACCAACTAGTTTGGAAAACATGCTCAATCTCCTCAAAACATCGACATTTCTGACATACCCTTATATGGGAGCTACCCTTAAACAAAGGCCAATATAGATAATTTTTAGTGTGAAGATTTGTCAACCAATGATAACCCGAAATACCAAATTACAATGGATTTGGATGAAAAGTGTGCCCAAACTCCCCAAAATAACGAATAATGAGGGTAACGTACTATGAGGACTACATCGAAAAATGTTGTAATATTCATAATTTTTGGTGGGAAGATTTGCCAAGCAATGAGACTCCAAAATACCAAATTACGGCCAAATTGCTTGGAAAACGGGCCCAAATCTGATCAAAATATCGAAATTTGTACCGTACCTTATATGGGAACTACCCCTAAACATAGGCCAATATAGATAATTTTTTGTGGGAAGATTTGCCAATCAATGATAATCCGAAATATCAAATTACAACGGATTTGGATGAAAAATGTCCCCAAATGTGCCAAAATACCGAATAATGAGAGTACCGTAATATGAGAAGTACAACGAAAAATGTTCGAATATTCATAATTTTTGGTGGGAAGATTTGACAACCAATGAGACTCCGAAATGCCAAAATACAGACAATTTGGTTAAAAAAACGTGCTCAAAATTCGGACATTTGGGTGGTACCAATTAGTACACTGAGTACTAAATAACGTACCCACAATAATATGGTTGCCCACCTCTGTTATTTGCCATTTTACTAATTGATATTTGCAAACAAACAACCACCCAAAAGCACTAAAAACGATTAGAGCGGAATGGGTACGTGACCTGACTAAGATGAGTGGAACATCTGACTACTAGTGGGGCACAGTGGGCTGAAATTAAATAAATTTCTATTTTAACTAATTTATTATATTAAATTCTTCATATTTAAAAAATGTTTAACGATACCAACTAATCGCTTGGAAAACACCCATTAATTACCCTCCTCTATTTATGACCCTCAAAACAGTTCGAAAAAAATTAATTCTGCTTAGAAGTTCAATGGCATTCAAAACCAAATAACAAATTGATTTTTTTATAATTTTTAAAGGTATTGGAAAAAAATGCATTTGCCGATAAGACGTTAGGCTTCTAAACCGAACAAAGAAACAAAGGGGCTATTAAAAATTCTAACAAATATTTTTTTTTTGTGCTAAGCAGGTTGGGACAATCAACCTGCATTTTGGGCAGGGCTGCCATATTTGCCGATTTATC